TCAGAATTTAGTAAAAAATATACTATTTTATAGCTACAGCTTGTCTCTACATTCTATCAAATTCTAAGCCTATTCAGACATATAGTAGTAGAGATATCGTAAATCTAATTCTATTGTGATGCTTTTGAAATAGGCCTATTCATAGAAAAAATCACAAAAGTCCCTCAGACGGCTGAGGAGAGAAACGCTACCGACAGGGGTCAGAAACCGCTAACCCCCAGGCCATACTCTATTTGGAGTAGCAATATGCATGGTGGTTTGTGCGTCCTCGGTTCTCTCCTCACGTCTGAGCTAGCTGAGATAAAGGAGTTAAAAGTAACGGCATCCTGAATCTCTAGAACCCAAAACCTTATAGGAGCAACTCAAGTGCAACCGCTGTCAGCAGAACAAGAACATCCCAAAATCCCGTATTAGCCTCTTCCCTCTTGATTTCGAGCTCTCTGATCCTCCCTTCCAGCCTTTCCTTCTCCTCATCTCTTGCAAAAGCATGTTGCAAGGACAGTTCCATAATCTTCTCGTCTGCGCCAGCAATTTCTTCTTGGAACTTTCGTCCATCCTCAAGTGACTTTCGTTGTTGCTTTTCCAACTCTCGAAGAGTGCTGTCATCTTCTCTTACCCTCTTCTAGCACCTTCACCATCTCGTCCTTCAACCGGCCAACGAGATTATTGGATCTTGCCAAAGCTTCTTGTAGATTGCTCTCGGAATCTAGGCGTTCTCGCACTAGGCGCGCCTCTAGTTCATCAATCCCAAATTCTCGATCCTTGCGATCTTTCTCAAGCCTATAGAGTTGGTCGTTCAATTTCTGCTCTAGGACGCGTAACTCCTCTCGACGGCCGGCTTTCAAGGCTTCACGCTCGTTCTCAAGCCGCCGAATGATTGTACGCTTCCCATCTTGCAGATCAGAAATCGTTCGTTGCAGCTCCACGTCTCAGTCTTTGATCGCCTGCTCCATCTCCGTCTGCAATTTCTTCAACTCTTCGGTATGCTTTGCTGCTAGATCAGTGAGCTCTTTGTTTAGGGCTTCCCCGGCAGTTGTCTTGTTGACGTCTAGCCCTTCGCCTACCATTTCTCTTTGTATCTGCAGGGCAACACGAGGCAACCCAGCAATCTCGGCGATGATTTCTAATGCAGATTCTCTCGTATTCATGAACCTGCGGGTTTTCGAACCCTTACTCTCCATGTATCCCCACCATGTTCGCTCCTCGACCAGCTGCTTCTCACGGCGCTCGGCTTTCGTGACGTCTGTCATGTCGTCTCAGAAGGTGGTCGCAAGGGTAACATTCTTGAAGGCATAGTCACCGCATAGCTTGCGGAACATAGTCAAGTTCCGCATAATGGCGTTCGTCATCCTCTCATCTTTTATTCGGTGCAGATAGATGATTCCAGAGAGCTTGAGTTTGTTCTTGTACGTTGCGCTCAGCGTCTCAGCGATCTCGGCGAGTATGTCAGCATCACCACGGTGGGTGTCGTCGAAGCCTGGGGTGTCGAGGAGAATGAAAGTGCGGCCATCAATGTATCATTCATATGACTCAGTGGTCTGTATACCTGAGGAACATCAGAACTTCTCCTCTAAGTGCTAGCACGTTATGCTTACAAGATTCTAGGTCTTCACCAATTTTTGGATCCTGGGAGCCTGTTGCGAAACGGATGAAGTTACTTTTGCCCGAACCTGTGACTCCCATCACTGCAATAAGAACGATACCTGGATTGTTCTGGTCGTCTTCGTCGGCGACAATCTCCCACTCGCCACCCATCTAGGGTGTCTCAGAGCGATTTCTCATCGTAGAGATTCTATTTTAAGGCGCGTTACAAAAGGAGGATTTCTTTTTTTTTATGGTCAATGAGAGAAAATACTCTCAGACACTCGAGAGGGTGTGGATTGAGAGGAAGGATGCAGCGGGTCCATAGACTGCTGAGCAGCCCATCCTCACCAGGTTGATCGACGTCAGGCGGCAAATGCTTGCGTGTTTACATCAACAAGTGAATTAGTATCTCTGGTCACCCCATTCTGCGCCACTTCATACGCTCTCAGCTCGGTTGCGTCAAACCGTTCCGCATCGATGAACTCAGCCTTGCGCCTGGAGATGAGCTACTGGAACCGCCAAGACGAATGCCTCGTTTTCTTCCAGATGCGGAACCCGAAAACGTCAATGAAATTGCAAACTACTCTATTTGCATCCCTACAGTGTCAGAAGCACCGGTCAAGACCTCATTCATGAGATCGAGCTGCATCGGAGAACACTTTGGCACTAGCTTTGGCACAGCCTGGTTCGAGACCCAGACTACACCCTTCGCCCAAATAGTGCGCTTTCCAGCATGATTACAACCTGTTTTACGCGAGGCATCTATCTTCGGCTGGATCACCAGTGGGATCGGACGACCATCTAGCCTTGTGCTCCCATCTTCCAAAGACAGAACTTGCGCGCCTGACATCTCGTTTGAGCAGACTCGAAACCTTACTTCACCTCCGAAGTGGTCAAGACCGTGGAACTCAATATCTGCCTTCAGGCACCAGAGCTTCGAGGTGAGGTCGGCGAATCTAGCGATCAGGCCGACGAGTAGTTCCTCCTCTTCAACCTCCACCCGGCTCCGGATTAGCATCCTCCAGCGTTGGATGAATGACTTCGCCAATCTTCGGTAGGCTGCAAGCTTTTTCTGCGTATGACTGTGTTCATCTTCCATGAGAAGCTTGATCGTGTCACTGCGCCAGATGGCTGCCCTCTCTTTATTCCTTGTCCAACAAAGTCAACATGTGGTATATAACCGTAGCTGATGGTGAATAACGGGACGTACTGATCTGAAGATAATCTGTGACCCTCTGTAAAACGATCAGAACATTCTCGTCGACAGAGGTCTCATCTGTCCACAGGGCTGAGCTACTAGTAAAAAACGGGTTACTGATAAAGGTAGAACAAAGGTAATGATTTAGCACCGCTTCTAGGAGGATGTCCGTGATTATGTCCGCGTTGAAGTTGAAGTAGTCGTGCGGCTCCATTGAATCTTCTGGAGCTAGGACTCCAATGTCGACCAAGCGTTCCTTCATTTCAGTTGTATTCTCCAGTTCGCAAGCGCAGTTTTCTTTCGCCCATTCTTGAGAATCCTTGAAAATATCCTGCAGCTGTTCTCTAACCTTGTCATCCGGTAGCTCGGTAGATACCATATCAGAGAGCTTCGAGACAAAAGCTGACTGCGCTTTGCCGATGACAGCTTCATGTTTGCGTCTCTCTATTTGCAATTGCTTAGTGAAACTTCTTTCCTCGGCAAGCTCCTCACAGACTGCAGCCTTTTGCCGGTTCAATTTCTGCATTTCTTGCCTCAAGCGTGCTATCTCGCGGTCAGCTCCGTCTTTTTCGTTCTCTAGCCTCTGTTGAGCTGCATCTGCACGTCGGAGTTTATTCTCATAGTCAAGCCTTTCAGACGCAGCTGATTTCTGGGTAGCCCGCAGTATCTCTTCTAATTCACTTTTATCAACTTGAAGCCTTTTCTTTTCCTTCTTCAGCTTTTCCTGATTTGAGTCGGGTTTCGACGTCCGAAAATCCAACCATGTATTGGAATAGCCCTGAGCTTCCACGTCACCTTCCTCCTTCACTTGCTGGCCGTGTTCACAAAGGTGGCAATATATCCCATCTTTGACTTGGGAATTTCTTTCTTTCCCTTGCTGGGTTACATCCTGACTTTGCTGAAGTCTCTGCAAATCCTGACTATGAGAATGCTGGGTCTGCGAATATTGGACATGTGGGGTTTGCGCTGAAATATACTGGATTTGAGGGTCCCCTCCAGTTATAGTTTGACTCTGCGGATATTGGCACGCTGAGTACGGCGGCTGGATTTGACCTTCAGTATTTCCTCTCTATTGGGAGTTAGAGGAGCACACAACGAGGGAGCTTTGCAATATACCGTGTGACAGTCGGAACGTTCGGGCATCATGATTTTAGCTGCGATTCCTATGTGATGGTGCAAGTTAGAATGTCCTCTGGCAATAGTAAACCTATCGGCCTAAGCTTTGGGAATGGGCTGTCTCAATGGGAGGATGTTCGAGATTTTGCCGGCAAGGCCAACTTCCTAAGACGTCCGATCGAGAGAAAGCACTGACCAACTTCAGACTTTGACTGGTGAGTCTCGAGTGGCTGAAGCTTGAATATTGAACTTGTGGGGCCTGAGTTGCCTTCGGTTGAAGTGAGTCGATTCTGCGTCCGTGACCGTGTCGTGCGGCCCCCACCAATGTTGAGAGTCTTCACTGAAAGGTCACAGTTCCAATCCTTCCCGTCCTTTGGTTTCAGCCTGGTGCAGTGTCGTGTCGCCTTGAGAGTGGTTGAAAGAAGCTGGTGAGCTTCAAAAATCGTACGTGGTTGATTCCTATATCCTCAATGACAGTATCATGAACGCCCAGTATGGGGGCGGTGAGCCATTATATTGATAGTCCGATTGATGATCCGATGAGGGACTGATCAAGGGTTATATAGACGAGGTTGGCTGACCACCTGACTTGATTGAACAAAAGGCAATGGTAAACAGGACCCACATTGATGTGGTCTATACCTAGTCCTAAGCTTTCGGAGCAGTATGCTTGCCTTAGCTCTGGTTGCCCAGAGCCGGGTGGGGTGAGCCTTGCCACTGTGCATTGTTTGCAGTCTTCGAGCAAGGGATTCATCGTCGTTCGCAGTTGCAAGGCGAGGCCTTCGTGACATACTTACCTTGGACCCATCCCCAATATTTCTCTTCTCTCCTGTTCAGCTCACTGCTTTTCTGGTTTCCTCTTCACCATGACAATTCCACTCCAAATTCGATCTCGAAACAAGCTGCTGGTGGGTCTAGACTATGGAACAACCTTTTCCGGTTTGCAATAGCGTTGCTTCTTTTTTGCTTTGAGGAGAATTCTGATACTGTCTAGGTATTTGCTTTATTCTCTCTAATGCTGCTGACTTCAGCGATACAAAGCCATGGCATAAGTGGCCGGGGGGTCCTTCCGAAGATTGCGACTACCTCCAAAAGGCCCCATCCCGGATTTCCTACGCATCCGAAAACGCTGACCTCGATCATGATATCTGGGGGTACGAAGTCGAAGCTGGAATGGTCAGCTATTCTTGGACGAAGCTTCTGCTGGACCAGTCTGCTTTACCTTCCGAATATGATGATCCTGACCTGAAGAAAGCTGCAGCCGATGGTCTCATGAGATTGCCACCGGGCAAGAGACCCGTTGATGTGGTGGCTGACTATTTGACGGGGCTATATCGCATGTTCACACAGGCGATCAGAGAGATCGGACTGCTGGCTGATGACGAGCTTACACTACCGATGCCAATGGAGTTTTGGTTAACTGTCCCTGCTACTTGGAGTGAAGAAGCGAAATGGGCCACGCGCTCGGCTGCTATCAGAGCTGGATTTGCTAATCGGCCGGGGGACGAAATAAATCTAATTGCAGAACCAGAGGCAGCGGCGCACCTAGCGTTGAAAGATAGTATCCACAATGTCAATAATCTTGTGAAGGTGCGTTTATATGTTTCGGAGCTAAGAGACGCGAAGCCCTAGCTAATGTGAACAGGAGGGTACTGGCATACTTGTCTGTGACTGTGGTGGAGGCACCGTCGTATGTTCCTTCTGTCTGGGGGTCTATGAGTAGTTAGCTAAAATGATAGGATATTACAACGTACACTATTGAGGAAGTTTCACCTCGGCTTAAGCTGAAGGAGAGTTGCGTTGGAGTTGGTAAGCAAGTCCTTATTAGGAAGAGAAAGATTAAACCCGATTCCGAGACCTACATTATCTAATTATCACTACCAATACTTAGGTGGTAAATGCGGCGGTACTTACGTTGATCGAAACCTCTATAGGCTCCTCACAGAACGTTATGGCAGTGCATTCACATCCTTACCCCCGGAGCGCACGGGTCCAGGAAGTCGGTTCATGCAACAATTCGAATCCAAGAAGAAGAATTTCGCGAGTGTTGCGTCAAGCAGGCGAGCCACTAAATTGGAACTCAAAATGCCACAACTATTAAGCTCGACTACTAGGGTTCCAGGATATGCGGGTATGAGACCAAACCTTTAGGCCCAAGGAAAAAGGGTAGAAGAGCCAAACACCCAACTACTGCGTTTAACTTGGACGAAGATTGAGAAACGTGATCACTTATGTACGCAGTAAGAGCCATTAAACAATGGCCTCCATGAAGCTATTGGATTGATATATTTTCCCTCGCTACCTCCCAAAAGGCAAACTGGCCGAGCAATCTACATTCTAGTCAGTCTGCCCGGCCTCCTCCCCAGCCTCCCAGAAGTCAGCATCCGCAGAAGGTATCATACCACTACCAGATAAGGAGAGAAGAAATCGAGAGAGGCTCATTCCCCCAGGCCACAGCGCAAAACTCAATGAAAGTAGTCGTCCAGTGTGACATGAGAGCGTTTGGTGTGTGTGCATCGCCATTCGGGATTGGAGGGAAGTGATTGTGATGGTCGTGCTGCGTCAGACAATGGCGTGAGACCCGCATGAAAGCTTGTCAAGGCTTCGGCTGTTCTGAATAGAGGAATTATGGTCGATGCACGCGGTGAAGTCAACTACTGCTCGTCGGGGTCCTCGGGCTGGTCGAAGAGAAAATTCGCGGCCAACTCTTCATTCTTATCGCAGGCAAAGTAGGCCTGAATAACGAGATCACGTTCGAAGCCAAGCCGGCACAACTAGCGCAGTCAGCGCCATGATATGACAAGAATAAGTTAACATACCCTCTCGATCGCCTCGCGCTCCTCCTCAGTGACGCTGATGGCCTGGGCACCGGGGGGCAGAGGGGCGTCTTCGTCGGCATCCTCTGCAAGCAATTGCAAGAATTGATCGGGATGTTCAGCGATCATCTGAGCCAATTGCGGGTTTCCAGCTCCAACCTGTTGCAGGATTGGCTCGAGCATTTGCGGCTGCTGTTGTACAACCTGTCGTAATTGCTGAAATTGTGGGTTGTTTCGCAGGAATTCAAGGCTGTTTCCACCAAGAGCGCCACCAGATCCAGCTCCGGCCCCTCCAGAGCCGCCGGAACGAGCACCACCACTACCACCACCACCTCCTCCTCCTCCTCGGCCACCTTGTCCCGCTTGGGCAGCTGCCTCGAACAGATTTATCGGCTCATCACCTCCACCGGCAGTGGCGGTCGCTCCAGTGTTCCCACCAGTGGCAGGTGGTGGCGATGTCGGACCACGAGCTTGTCTGGGGGACGCCTGCGACTCTTGGAGTGCGCCTTCGGGGATTCCCTGCGTTAGTGTTAGCAGATCGCCAATACAAATGGATCGTTGGATGTCTCACGGTCAGGAGGTATTCCACCGCACGATCGGGATTGAAGTATGCGGCGCGCATAGCCCTGTCAATATCAGCCCTCGCAAAGCCCATGCTCTCCATATTCGCAATAGCAGCGTCGCGCTCGCTGCCCATAGTCAAGGCTGACGGATCATTGAATCGCGGGCCCTCGGAAGCCTGCTGAGGAGGGGCTGGGGATGGAGTAGCCGGAGCATTTTGGGCGGTGGATGATGATTGTGCCGGTGCAGCAGGAGGTGCAGGAGTTTGGGCGGCCGCTGGAGTGGGCGTAGAGGGAGCTTTACTTGATGAAGCTGCGGATGGCTTAGGCTGCAGCAACTGTTAGCAGGGTTACCAGGCAGTGGTAACTCGGATGCACCTTGGAGACCATGCACACGATGAAGCCCTTCTCCTCGATATTGTAGGATTCTACCGTGTTACCATCTTGGAGGATCTTGCCTATTTAGCCTGGTTAGAAACTGCAGCTGTATAGGTCTCAGAACCTCGAGGGCCCGCGGATGCGTCATACCGGAGTAGATCAACTTCTGCTGGGCGACGTCCCAGCCTTTATCCGCCTGGATCTTCGCCTTGATCTCGCCGATCTATATGAAGGGGTCAGGTCAACCTTGCGCCAGCACGGGCAGGTCTTGGAGCTCTTTCATACCGTTTCCGATGGCTCGCCGTCGATGGTGAACTTGTTCTGCTTGAGATCCTGCGGCAAGGGTAAGCATCAGAGACGAGGTAAAGGCAGCGGAGGCGTCGGTACCTTGAAAGTGATCTTCATGTTGGTGGGTGGTTGAGAGCAGTATCTCTAGCTGCGAAGTAGGTGGTAGGAGATGGTGTGTTGGGGAGAGTGAGGTGGGGAAGTCGTGGGTATTTGTCGCCACGAAAGGGCTGCTGGTTTAATATAAGGTGTGGTCAGTGTGGCGCTGGAAGGTCCGTAAATCAGGCTCCAGTGTAAATGCAACTTGGTGCAGTGTTTGCTCAGGACGAGCGAAGGCGATGGAAGAGCCCAGTGATCAAGGCAGAATTGCGTCTTCGTCTTCTGGTTGCGGGACCGCCAAGCCACCGGCGACACAATTCGCCGGTGTGGCGGTGTTGGTGGGTGAGTAATCGGGAGGCTATGGGAGGATCACGTGGGGTAATCTCCTGCTACCCCTGCTAGCGCTCACTCGCTTCAATCACTCAACCCGTGGCCCGCATCGGAACCCATCTATCCAAGATGGCATCCATGCTTCCACCATCCCGTCTCTCCGTCAGCCGCATCCGCGATGCAAGTTTGCGTTTCTTTTGTCTTCTGCGTCACGAATCGCGAATCGCCCGCCACTGGACATGAGGGGCACTGGCTTCGGGTGACAGTCGTGACATCTCAGACACTAGCCGCAGCAGTGCCTGCAACGCACACGTCCTGTGCCACTATCTGCACCTGTCGTGCTCGCGGGGCATATAGGCAATAGACTCGATAGCGGTCCATTCTCCGTGTCGCCTTCAGGTCGTAGCGCCTCGCGGCGAGAGTAAACGCCTGTTAGTGTCCTCAACGGTTGACGCTCACGGGGTTGTTTTGCGAAAGCAAACGTCTCAAACAACGCGCTCAGGAAATGAAGGACCTCACCGTAACAGGTCCGTCCAAACACTCAGACAGGCTTCCCTTGGCTCGCTCGTTGTCAAAACAGCGTTTGGCGGAGGTCGGCCAGAAGCCCGGCCACATTATTGGTTAGTATCACAATTTCTCCGTGTGTTTCTTGTCTTTTTCTCCTCACTAGTCGGCTTGCTCTTCTAGAAGCACACCTGGCCGCCGACGACCAAGAGCCAGTCGCTCAACTTTCGGCCCTCCTACTCAATGCTGCAGCGCCAATGTTTCTCTTTGTACCTCTGACCAGCTCGCGAGTCGGGAAGCCTGCAACAATGGTGGTGCAAAAGGCCGATTTTCGATGCAGCGACCATTCGCTCCTCCGAATGCATGTCGCGCATCCGGGATCTTTGCTGCTGATCCTTGTCGCGCTCCACCATGTCCAACGCGTGCTGCAGGCTCTTGCCCACAAAACAATGTTCCAACTAAGCCTTCCCACCTCCTTCTAAATATGTTATCTTTCTCGTGGGTCCCACATGCTCTGCGCCATTTTGCTCTGTCCTTCGTTCTACTCTTCGCTCGCTTTCATCTCCAACCACCTTCGTTTCTACACCTGCACCTCCTTCGTCACTGGCAAAATCCGACCTCAACCCCGACGACCTGGAATTTGGTTATTAAACGAAGACACCCGGCCCTAGGCTGCTGCACAAGCCACACTTTGGAAAACGTGAAACTGCCACTTTGGGCCTCCGCGTTGTCCTCGATCGCGTTGGCCTTATAAGACTGACATATATTACTGGCCCCATCATTTCGTCTCGTTCCTCTCACGCGTTCAGTCTCGTGCTTGTCTTTGTCCCCGCGATCCGCGATCTGCTACGCGGGGATCTGATACCTCTTTCAACCGCATTATTTTCGCGTCTTTCCCACAAGTCCTCCACTCTGCCATCGACGCATCTCCAACTGCTATGGCTGAGACCTCGTCCTCGTAGAAGAGCTGGAACGGGGGCATCCTACATTCGTTTTATCACTCCTGGGCCAATAGCACTCGTTCTAGCACTTCATTGGACGCAGTCGACGCATTATACGCATCTGTGCTCCCCGAAAACGCAAAGACCGAAATTCGACCCCCAGCATCAGGCCAGCAGTGGCATCCTGGCTCCAAAGCTGTGCCCCACTCAGCCTCCCTTTCAAACACTCAATTACCTCTCCATCCCTCTTGAGTCAAAGCAGGAGCTTTTGCTGGCAACAGCATGTTTCGATCTCGCCGGTTCTTCCTCTCCCTTCTCGGGGTGGTTACTTGGTCTACCACCGCTGCCGACACCGTCATCTCCATTCTCGACGCAGCCTCTCTACTGGGTACGAAAGTCTCCTTCGCTGGTGTCCTCATTGCAGCAAGCGCCTTGGATGTTGTTTGTCTGTGTTGTATTGGGTTGTTTTCGGCCGAGTATGCTTGGAAAAGAGATGGAATCGTAAGAACGTCATCTAGTGCAAGACGTATCTTGGCATTGTCTTGCATTCTACCTTCGATGGCTGCCATGGTATTGTCGCTGGCCTCGATCATCACTATTAAGATAAGAGCAAAGGAAATATCCTCCGCTAAATCCTCAGCCGCAATTAACAATTGGCCTGGAGACCTCGCTCCACAATTCGCCATATGGGGCTTGGCTTGCCTGTGCCAGATTGCGCTGTACACCTCGCCAATATGGGCGAAACCAACCAATGGAACCGAACAGTCGGTTTCATCTTCAGGTTCAAGAGACTCTGTCATGTCAGAGGTTCGTACTTCCAACCAGACCATGAATTTACACATGGTAGAAGCAACACAGCCAGCTTCGCCACTGGCACTGCCATCTCCTACCTTTTCGGCCCGCTCGTCTCACTCCCTCAAGTCTTGGAAGGAGTCACTGAATCACGTCGTCCATCCTGTTACCTCTCGGACGAAGCTTATCAACCGGCCTTCCTTTTCACGGGATGCTCGAAGCATCTATTCTGATTCTCACTCCATTTCTAACGTCTCTCAACCTGATGGCTTCGACACTTGGGATACCAGCAGTGTTGATTCACAGGCTAGAGACGCTGTGATGCAATCTGCACCACCTCGAGGCACGGTTTTAGGTACCGCCTTAGAACCCATTCCAGGTAGCCGACCTGCGTCGCCGGCTCACGCTTTGGATGGTCCTTTCCTCGAGGAATCCGATGGAAGGGCATCTCCTGCTCTTTCTTTACCTCCAAAGATGTATCCAGACACGTCTCGACCTCCAAGCCCTGCTGTCAGCGAAGCACACATTCATCCACTCTTCAGGACCGAGAGTCCAGTTCCACCTCCAGAGGCTACGCCCGGGACAAGCATAATGGCCTCACCTCTAAGCAACCAGGTGATTGCATGTCCACCACGACCATACAGCCGTATGCGATCCAATAGCCGTGCTGCGAGCCCAAGTCCTCTCATGCACTCTCAATCATTTCATGACCGCACCATGAACCCTCAGCGATCTTCTCGAAGCCCTTCTCCTCCCAGTCGGGAGATGACCCCACCGATCCCAGATTTTGTCCTCACCTCGTCGCCGAGAAGCAGCTTAAGTGGAACGCAGACGAGAAAGAAGATTAATCTTTACGTTGATACGGGCCGATGACCATTCCAATTTACGTTCGGGAGGCCTTTTTGGTGTATAGGCATGACTACGGATCTAATGTCGGGCGTAATCCTAATGGGCGACATGTAATCCTTACGAGAAACGATCCATTTCTCACGTATGCTATGCCCCAGGCACTATCCATCTTTGGGGGTCTTCTACATTCTGTCGTTGCGAGCCTCCATCTTTGGAAACCTTGAATCTTATGAGCGTTTGGTCTGGCGTTCTGTGTTTGTTTTGGGAGGGGTTGGGGGTACAGGAAAACAAATGCAGTCCTTATTAGTATTACCTTTAATCGGTCCACGCCACTGGCTGGGCGTGTTCGGATAGGGTGCCATGTGGTAGGGCTGGGTTGGGCTGGGATGTATTGAGAGTGTACGTGATATTGAAATATGTGTTCAGGATCCTCCAGGTAGCAATCTACCAATTAAAGAATCAAACGTTGTTGACTTACCTCTTGGGATGCTGGGAGCAATGGTTTTGCATATGTGTATATTAGATGCAAGTGACTGATGGAGGTGACGGCGTCGAGTCTATTTCGACGTCTGATGGGACATTGCCATGCAACTTTTTATCTTAAAAAAAAATATGCACCATGTACTAAAATGAGCCTTGAAATGGACCATTCTTCTCAACATACATTTCATTGTCCTCGCAATGGTGGACTCAAATGCTGGACGTTGCTAACTTGTGTGAAGGCGTGTGCTCAATCAGAAGCATCTATAAATATCCTGACACGAGCATCAAAAAACCTTCAACGCATCCCCGTCGCCCAATTGCAGGCTCACGTTCCATATATCTACAATAGCGCCATCTACAATTTCATTCCCATTCACCAAGAGCGCCCACCCCGGAGCATCGAAGAGTTCTAACGGCGAAGATGGCGCCGAGGGTCACGGGTAATGACGTTTGGTCCCGAAACGTTTGTGAAGCAAGACAGGGCGGACGTTCGAGAACAAGCGTAGTACCACAGAGTCAGCGTTAGCGAGCCCATCATGTAAATAATGAAGAAAGACTTAAAAAGGACTCTGAACGAATGCCGCCATGCATCGAAATGATCATGTCGTGATATGTGCAAAATTTAGTCGCTTATTACCCTGATTGGGAAAGCTTAGCTTCTGCAGCTTGCGCATTGCCTTTGCGGCTGTGGTTGGCGAGCCGTCTTGGACATTGCTCTCTTGTGTGCCACTTGCAGTTGCGGGGATGGAGCCCGTTCAGTCTGCAATACCTCACAATATCAACATCTATAATAGCAAAATTCTTATAATTTCATCCTCAGTGAATACGATTGTCTGCAGCGTCGGGAGTCAGCGCTGGACCGTGGCAACTCGACGGCGCAGAATCCTTGTCAAATCCCCCTAATCTGGACTAGCGCGTCCTTTTCTAAGAGATCCCAAGCAACCCTTCACCATTGCGAGCATCCTTTTCGACCTCTTACACCTTCGACAGTTCGCAGACTTGCGTCCTCACCAGCCTCTATTTTCTCCTCATTGGCACTCTTGTCCACTTTCTCGCTGTGTGCAGCGTCGTTTGCATCCCCCCGTGCCGCAGCTCAGTGGAGCATTTTGTTCTTTTTGCAAGGGTGTTTTCTGACAGCCGTCCTCAAATCCGACGAGTAGACCTACACCTCCAGCGATTCGAGAACTCTACCTAGTTCGAATCATCTCCTGCGGCTAGAGGATGAGTCTCTAAGTAGGTGATTTTGCTCTTGGTTTCCGTTTTGCCTCCCTAATCATTCCGCCACGGGGATCAGTGGTCTTCTTAGCAGTAAGAATTTCATCCCCAACCACCATCTTCATCCCATTCACTCGGAATTTATCTAGCGGGTTCACCATCCCCACAATTGTTTGCCTCTTGCTGCAAGTGGGCCAGAATTTCTCCAGGTCTCCTGTCTTCATTTGCACGGCTGACAGCCCTGTGCCTCAGGTCCATCATCTGCCATCAAGTCTTCACCCACAAAAACATTATTGAACAACCTACGCTTAGCTCTCTAGACCTGTAAGCCTCCCGTCCACTCCTCTATTTCATTCAAATGCCGCGAATGCCGTTGGGCTTCTGTGAGCATGATCACGAGCTAATGCATTGCTTGTTTAGGAGTCTTGCGACAATGCCGCCGAAGCGCAAGACAAAGCCCGCAAAGGCCAACACACCGACTCCTCAGCCAAAGATGCAGCGTATGTACTTTCCGCCCTACTCTCTCTGCTTAATTATCAATGCCGCCAAACCCATGCTAACAGGGTCACTTGGCAGCGGCTGGCGAAATCCGGCCTAGCGCCACTAAGCGAAAGAGTAGTGTTGTTCAAGGAGGAAAGACCTCGCGTCTTCAACCCTCTGAACCTCTACATATGACTACGCGCGCTGCTTCCAAAGCAGCTTCTAATAATACCAGTCCTGCTGCACCCTCCACCATCGACGGAAGCAGTCGCAGGAGTTCCCTCAACGACCTCGCGCAAGATGATGGCGGTGTTTCTGACACGGAAGAACGCCCAGCCAAGCGCAGCCGCCTGTCGACAGATTCTGGTTCGCCGCAGGAGCCTTTCGCATCCCAAATTCCATTGAATGGGTCGCAAACTATCAACGACACTAAATCAACGTCTCGTCGTGGTTCGACTGCAACGAAGCCCGCAAGCAAAAAGCGACGAGCATCCAGCGACTCTACCGAATCTAGCAAAACTGTTGGCGCTCGTCCGAATGGTCCGAATGCTGCGAATGGTGTTTTTGCTCGCAACGAAAAGGACATGTCCGAGAAACAGCCACGCCGCAAGAAGCGCAAGACGAGCGCAACTCCTCCTGAGCCCACTGAACCACCACCTGAACTAACCGACGCTTCTACGCCTCCGGGCTCACCAGAGCAGCCTCCAGATATTGAGAGCAGCCAAAATGTCCAAACTATTCTTCCTGCCACCAATGGTGAGGTACCTGCAAAGGCCGCTAAGCGACTTCCGGGTCGTCGCCGCCAGCCGCATGCGAACGTGGTCGTAGAAACGGATCTCCGTCGACAGCTCCCACTCAAGATGGACTATCGCGCTCTTGCCAAGCAGCAAAAAGTCATGCTTGACGAATTGTCGAGGCGGTCTATCCAAGTTCTGAACAACGATTCCGAGTCTTACAAGAATCTTCCCGAGTATCAAGAGACGATCGCCGCATTGAATGAACATAGGGATCGTAGACTTGATCAGCTCAATGCTCAGCGCCAGAACAGGCTAGACGCTGAGGAGCGAGTGTGTGCGGGCCAAGAGCACAATTTCAAAAACCAGCACATTGTAAGTATTATTTGAGCAATATTCACGTATCGCTAACACATGTGTAGAACACATTCAAGACGCTTCAGGACAACCTCATGTTGCATATATATTATGACATGAAGCAGTTACACCGCGAAATGAAAGCCCATGAAGGTGCCACTGATGATGAAGTGAGTGAGAACCATTACGCAAAACGTTTGCTTTTGCTAACATAGTTCAGGAAAATATCATTGAGCCCACGCACACGGACTTCCCTGCGCTCAACGGCGATGATCGATTGGGATCTCAGTATGCCTCTCGTAGCAGGGCGTACATCGAGACTGAACGTATGATTGCTGAAGAAGATAGCCGTGGTCGCCTCGGTGGGTTAGTGCAATCGTTTATGACCAGTGACGAGGACTTGAACGATTCGATCGGGAAAGTACCCGCCGGATTTGCGCAATTTACTGGTCCTCCACGCGACGAAGCCATTGCGTTGTACAACGTCGCTAGTCTTGCTGAAGCGGCCGAAGAAATTGAGAAGACGCCGGCACCATCAGAAGCATCAGCTATCATCCTAAACGAACAGGCCGATGCTCTGTTCATACTTGCATCCGTCTCTGCCGACAGGCCACAAGAGCCAACTCATGGTGAGAAACAACTGTCAACTGTGCCCCCTAGCCAAGTCGTCACTCCGGTACCACAGACAGAGCTACAGAGACAGACTTCACCATTCGCGCCCATGTCCACTGCATCAACTGCCATGTCCTTGGAAACGGCTAGGAGCAGTCCGGCAAAACAGTCACAAGCTCCAGAGACCTTCACGCCCACCCCTCTCCAGCAAGAGCCTCATGTTGTTCAACCCGGAAAGGAATCAGACACATCCAAGAAGGAAACGCCTGTCAAAGTCTCCACTCACCGGATCATGGATATCCTTAATGATGATCAAGATATCGCCCTACCAAGATCACGAGAATCTAGGGCTTCAATTCTGGACCATACTCCCTCTGCCAGTCCGTCTCGTCGACCAAGTGCCAGCCACAGCCAACACCCGTCTCAGAATGGTTCGCTCCGTATGGAAGCCCTTTATCACAGTCAAGAACAATCAGTCTCTCGGGAGATGGGAACTCCGTCCGAAGCTTCCGCAGGTATCTCCCAGCAGCGCTCACCGCCTCCAAGCAGTCAGTTCTGGTCCAGCAAAAACCTTGGGTCCCCAAAAGAGCATGCTCCTGAGGCCCTACCAGACAAAAACCCTCTTGACCGAATTAAGCGCATGTTGGATGCTAAAAAGCAGAACATGTTAGAGCACCACGCAACAGACGGATATCATGGGTCCCAGGCATCGCAAGGATCACAGGGCCAGCAAACACAGCAAGGACCTCCATCTCGGCGTGGTAGTCTTGAACGACCCAACATGGCTCCGCCTTTCGCCCGAGCCTTCAATTCGTATGATCGTCCAGAGAGCCGCGGTGAATCTCGCCGACCATCTGCGGCCTCTCCTCCAACAGGTCATTATTCCTATAATCATTCTCCACACGAATCGCATGCCGCTCCGTATGTACCGCCATCACGTCATACCTCTGCCGATCAAGGATCTCGTCAATGGAACGATGGCAGACGTCTGAGCGGGCCTCCTACACCGCATCAACCACCTCCACCCGCACCATATGGCGCTCCTCCGTATCAACCCTACAATCCTGACTACAGCAGGCCAGGGCCAACTCCACCGACGCATCAGAGCCCGTACCCACCACCAAATGCTCACTCGATGCCGCCATCCAGCCAGCCCCTACCGGCGAAACCCCCAGGGCCACCAGCCCAGGTCACCTATCGCTTCGCGCACTATGACCCAGCTCCACCAATGATTACATATCCCCAGGCGTCACCTCCAACTTATCCTACAAGTTCCCACCCCCCTCCTCACGCTATTCCCCCACCACCCCCTCATTACGCAACTCCGTACAATGCATCCCACCAATATCAAGGCTACGTTCCGCCACCAGGCAGCTTCCAAGCTCCACCACCGCCGCCACCGCAGCCCATGTCCCAATATCCCCCACTAAAAATCCACCAGTATGGCGGCCAACGCATCCTCCCGGCCAACATGGCTCCTCCACTACCGCAGTCCCCAATGTCGCCTTATGGCCCGCCTCCGCATGCTCCGGCCTTCTCGCAGCAAGCAGGTCCACCCAAGCCTCATTATGAGCACCCACCTTCAGCATCTCAGGAGCGCTCTATCCAGGAGTCTCGTCCGCGTCGCCAGTACCGCTCTTGGCATGCTCCAGGCACGGAGTTCAGGAGCTACCAGGGTCCGAATCAGAGGGGTCGTCGGGGCGGTTGAGAGAAAAGTTTATTACCTTTCCCGTTTCCATATCTATGTTCATTGTGAGCCCCATGTCCTTGTCCATCCACATTCCCAGTCTGAGTCCTGTGTACTCCAATCCAACTTTTACAACCCTTTTATCACCCATTTTGCTCTTGCATGCAGATCTTGTCCCCTGCCCCTTTCCCCTGGCTTTCGGTTCTGAATTTTGGTTTCGGCCTCTGGCCTTTTTTTTTTGGTTTCTGTCTTTGTTTTGCCTTCCTTTCATGTAATTTTGTGGTTCTTGTGCATTTTTGCATAGCATGGCGATGGTTTCTGTCGGGCTTTGGCCCTCTTCTTTGATACCATAGGCTGGCTGGCTGGTGCATCTGGCGTTGAGGAGATTGATTGTATTGTAGTATAGTGAAGCTTTGGACATGACAATGGAGTGGTTGATTGTGCATATCTATACGTGTGGTATGACGTGCAATGTGATGTGTGTAGTTGTTGGAGTGAATCAATGCAGTTCATGTCGCTGTATTAGGGTGGAATGGCGAGTTGCAAAGGGCATGGAGGGTTAGTGGTGAACACAAGAGAATGTAGAGTAATAAACATAAATCCTCACAGTGTACTAGCCAAGCTAAAAGGGTGTTTCCATTCCTAATGACGCTCTAGCCTAGGTATATCGTAGAAGCGCAAGAGGAGCAGTGCTAAGTTTCAACCTTCGAAAACGTCCCACATCCTACCCAAGCCGCTTCACCAGTATCTACGTCTTTTCGCAACCCCCTTTCTACTTGCTATCCCAACCTCCACCTTTCCTCAAATCTAGCTGAAGGAACAAGTTGTCAAACTCTCTACGTTTTTTCTAAACGTCCAGGAACTACGGAATTGCATACCCTAGACGTACAAGATCCTTCTGTGTACGGTGTTGGGTGGGTAAGAAAGGGTGTAGGGGCTTACTAGATGGCTGGGAGAATAAAGAGTGGGGGAAGAATGCAGTGAAATATAATGGTGGTAATAAAGGGGGGAGGCAATCTCAATATCCTAGAGTAGTAGTACACCAGCAGTCTCCAGGCGGGAGAATTAGAATAGAGATGAAGTTTCCGGATGCTTGCTGGAGTGAGATGGAGAGGAAGAGGATGCTATGTTATGTGAGGAATCAGGGCTTCAGTGAAGCCTGATGCGTGGCTGGTAGATGGACAATGTGACCGTGGATGTCCAGAACATTCATATGGATCTCCACAGTCTGGACCAGCTTTGCTATATCTAAACAGTCCATTCAATGATGGAGCAGTTCCAGCACCACAGCCCCAAGCTCACCCCTCAATCCCCACCCCAGGGAATGCCCCCCCCCTTCATCCCGAACAAACGCAGTGAGCGCACCAAACACACTCAAATCCTCCTCTTCACCTTAGGTGTAGGTGTCCACTCCCTATCCAACCCCCCACCGCCCTTCCTCTCTTCCCCAAACCCTCCTTCCCGCTTCGGCGTTGATCCACCCACCTTCTCCAGCAACCTCCTCCCCGCGGGCGTCAAACCCACCGCATCTTTCCTTAACCCCGCTCCCGTAGGCATCCGCCTACCAGGAGTAGGCGCACTCAGAAACCGCGGTGTATTGTTTCCAAACAGACCCAACCTTGATGCAGAGATAGAAGATGAAGCTTCCGTTTTACCCGCCCTCTTCCCACTAATCCTCTCAACCATTTTATGATGCAGTCTCTCCCTCCGATTCGAATCATGAATAGTAAACGGACTCGGCTTCGCATTCGCTCCAAACTTCTCCAGCAAATCTGTCGGCGCGTCCTCTTCTTCGTCTTCAGGTTCAGGCGGTGTTGCGTCAACGAACGCATACCCGTTCACCCTGGGAGTCTCACTGCCCTCGTATCCAGCCTCACTTTTCGACGTCCGTGGACGCCCGGCAATGGCGTCGCGGATCGCGGAGATAGTTGGGGAGGGGGGGTCTTTGCGCTTGGTGGATGAATCGGGGTCGTGGGTGGGGAGTCGAGTATTGTGATGAAGCAGTGCTTTCGGGGGAGCGAGAGACGCGGAATCTGCTTCTTGCGCACGTGTCGGCGCCCAGGATTCTATGGAGTCGGGGACGAACATGAGACTGTTGAAAGCGGTGTGTTTGTGCGTTGTTGGGGCTGCGGGACGGGCGTCAAGATCGTGGGATGGGCGTAATACTACCTCCTTGCCTGCTGATGTTGATGCTGCTGTGGCGGAGGTGGAGGCGGTGATGACCTTCTGCTGCGCGAGCCGTTGCTTCGAAGGATGCCGATTCCCAATATGCAGCCACTGATTCTCGAGGAAGCGTTTCGCATTCGCTTTGTCTAGGATCTGGTTGAAGGATTCTTGGTCCTCAGGCGTGTATTTCGCTTGGAAGGCTGTTAGACTTAGATTTAGATCGATGTCTGGTTTCTGAGTCGCAGCTTCGTTGACACCACTGCCAGCATCCGTCTCCGCGACACTGAGAGGTGTGTCCCCGGCCCACACACTCGGTGTCTCCGCACTCCCTCCACCTACTCCTCCCTTTGCTCCTCCTCCAAGTCCAGCCATTCCAGCCCTCCTTCCGTGCCTCTTCCCCGGTCCAGGCGTCATAGCCTCCGTCAGCCTCCTCCCACTCTCCCTAATCCAGCCGTTATTCCCACTGTCCAGCGCACTCAGATACTCCATCTGGGCATCCGTCTCAGCAAGCCCGGGGAAGAAGTCGCGGCGGATGATGTGCGTGAGTGCGGCAACGTAGGTGTCTTCGTCGAGCACAACGGCGGGGCGCTTGATCCGTTTCGGGGCTGGTGGGGGAGGCATTAGGGAGCTGGGCGCGGCACGCTTGGTGAGGGATTTTGCTGTCGGGGACGACATGGTGGAGGTGTGGGTTGTGGATGTTGGTAACGTTGGTGGTTGAGAGGAGAGGTGTGGGTGCCTCGGCGGGCGGCTCGGCGAGCGGGATTACTAACAGTTAACTTGTTCAGACGCACTCGTACATAGCCCATAGCAGTTCTTGTGGGCGAGTTTGTGAGAGAGGCAGAGCGTGGGTGGAAGCGTAAACTGCGAATGTTTGTAGAGAGCGCGGATGCAAGTGCCGATGCAAGTCCCAGTTTTGCAATGTGAAAGGCGATCTTCCTCACCGCCTTCAGCCCTATCTAGAAGGTGGGATGTAGGATGCGGGATGCGGGCTGCCCTTGTACGCCACGTTCGCATGTGCATTTGCTCTGAATCTGTTCGGCAGATTTCCATCTTCATTTTCACTGCTAGTTACATAGGTAATGATCAAATTCAGCCAAAGCAGTATTGTCGGACACTGGTAGTATATCATTTTCTACACCAGAAGGAGCCTATGGCCATTCCAGGTGATCCCCGGCATCCATATTCCATGCTCCATTTTCTCCAGACGCCATGCGCCGATCCGAGCCTCTCAATCCGAGGGGCGTGCCACTGATCTAAAACTAGGGAGCGGCGAGACCTTTGCCGAGGAGATCTGATTTAGTAGAAAGATTCCACCATCGCGTCCTTGTGCGTGGTATTGATGTTTTGCGGGCCATGGCCTTCGCCAAGCCGGAAAACCGATTCAACAACGGACAGCTCTGTGGCCGTTGTGTCGAGACCAGTAACAGCCATCCAGTCATTAACTACCATGCCCGCGCCCACAACCGCGCTCCCTCTATTCACGCTCCCCGCCACTAGCGGCACCTGCAGCAGACTCGACAGCTCGTCCTGGTCCTGAATGCTTGTCTTCGGGTGCACGATTCCGCCCTGATTGCTCAATGCCATGTAACTGCCCGTGAGCACGTTGTCTGCGATTGTCTGTCGGAATACCTCGACACCCAGCACGTCTGCTATTATTTCCTCGGTTTCCCGCTCGATGTCCGGGTGCACGAGGGCGACGTGGTCGTTGCAACATATCACGTTTCCGAGCGCGGAGAGCCGCTCTTCTATCCGCTGGATCTTGACGGCTTCGGGAATCGAGTTGCGCAGGTGCTGAAGTTCTTGGTCGGTGGTGGTGGTAGGGACTAGAAGGCCTTTGCGATTACTAAATTATTAATTAGCATGATTCCTACAGGGATTCAGAGCATAGTAGAGTAGGGTAGAAGAGGCGAGAGGTGCTCAAGACCATCCAAACGTACCCAGCGGTTAACCGTCCTACTATCCTCGTCCCCGCAATCGTGGCATGGCAGATAGGAATGACATCTTGGAGTTCAGCTTCAAAGACACTACCACACAAACATCAGCTCCCAAACCACTCTGTTGTATCGCATCGCGTGCCTAAGGTAGGAGCAAATTTCGTACCTGTAGAAGTTCTCCGAAGCTCCAACTGCGACGATGGCATATGCATTTGTGAGTGTAGAAAAGACACCGACTCTGCGAGAAAAGAATAGTTTTAGCATATGTTTTCTATCTTTTCGGTGTGCATCTGGCAGCGCAGCGCAAGAAGCAGCTGATCGTGAGGGGAGGGCGAAGGTTAGCGGGGCAATCTCACTCATTTGAATTCTCGAATTGTGCGCGGACCGCCATGATTCCAATTCTTTATCCCTGGTTCTATAACACTGGCTCTGGGGAGGAGAGGAGAGAAGCTGGGAGAGAGTTAGAAGCAAAAGAAGGAGCTTGTTCGCGGTGTTGGAAAGCCTGTTGCTTGTGGGTCGTGAAAAAGTGTGCCAAATCCACAAGCTTTATGAGGGGCCGTTACATCCTCCCCAGGTCTAGCGCAGGCGGACAGCCAAGCCACAAGCATGCATATTCGACTCATCGCTACTCATATTCTTGCTCCGCCTCAGGCACACTCACGCTCGCAGTCAATGTGAGTGAGTGAGTGATGTTATGACTGATCATGCGAACAGTCATAACTCTGTGGCGGTGCTGACATTCACACACTTACCCCCCCCGTCGTCATGCTTCTGGGTTTCTCGCCCGTGGCCCATGGATCGCTTGCGGGTAATGAACCTTTGAAACTCCCTCTCATCTCGTCAAGCTCGTTCTCATTCTCCAGCATCAGCCTTGCCGACACCAAGGATAGATGCACGTTCAGGGCCAGGGCTTGTTGCACCATGTTCATCGCCATTCGGGCCTGTCAAGAGCGCACAGATTCACGATGAGTCGTTCATGTCCCCAGTCCTTCACCACCTTTCCCATCTCCAGCCCTGGGGGTCGGTCGAACGCACAGCCAGGGGCAGTGGCGCTCGAGCCTCAACAACCTCGACAGACTTCACATGAGTACACGAGCCAAGTATCATCAAACGAGCCTCATCCCATGTTCGCATCTGTCACCGCGCCATCTCCAGGTCAGTCAGTCAGTCATACGAAGGTCCGTATCCAAAATTTCCCGTCATGGAAGCAAAAGTGTTTGATTTAGCGCCGGCCTCCAACCATCATTTCGTTACGGGGCCGGTGCATCTACAATTACAAGATCATATAGTTCGTGAAAACTACATTAAATGGAGGGACAGGGGGTTGTGCACGCGTTGTGCCATGTCGTGAATCCAATTCAGGATCTCAAAGTGATACCAATCTTAAGTGATACAATGAAAAAGCACGCTAGTGTGCTGTGCTGTGCTGTGCTGTGCTGTACAGAGTGGGTGCAAGGTGGGGTAATATATCAATGGGAAAAGCAGAGGTCTATACGCCCGCTATGCATGCGATGCAGAACGCAGCTCAGAACAGAACCGCTCGTTCGGCTCGCTCGCTCTCATAAAATCCAAAAGTCCAACAAATAGAAAAATCCAACAAGGTTTTGTACAACTGTCTACGTGACAATCGCAGCAGACTTGAAACGATACGAGAAGATCGTGGAAAGTCGTCGCGTTACACATAGATAGATGGGTAAGAAATACATAATTGATTAAAAGACGTAAAATGGGCATTGATGGGGTCGTGAATGTGTGTGGTCTTCGTTAAGGAAATTTTGGGTGTTGGTTGTGGGGGAAGGGATTAAGGAGATGAGTAGTGCCAGGTGAGCGTTGGGAGTATGACAATCAGATGGTAGGTAGTACGGTACGGTAGATGGTAGATGGAGATAGACATCGACGACGCTGATGTGGGGCCATAAGGCAAGACAATATCGCGCGGGTTGCTGGAGGATATCTACATCCTCGACGCAACAATCGCAAGAGCAATCTAGAAGAAGTCAGTGTACACCCTCATCACATCCAAGCTCAGATCCTGAACTTACAATCACTCCAATAAGGAGTGTCCCAACCCCAGACATTATTCGATTAAGGTTACGCCACCACATGGCCTTCTGATATGACCGATCATCAACCGGCGGTCCAAGTTCTCGGTCGAACTGTTGCTCCAGATCCATTTGGCTCGGTGTTGGTGTCACTTGTCCAGGATCCGGCGGAAGAGGGAGAACCGACGCAATGATCCATGCTTTACAATCATCAGTATGATGTGAGGGGGATGGCATTATGCGCACCGACAACCAGGCGTGTGCGAGGGGAGGGGATCTTACCGAACGGGAAAATAAAGCCTAAACAAAACAACAAGATTTGCCGATTCTGACGACTGAAAAACAACGTCCCGACATTCGAATCGAAAGACGGGGCTGTCCATGCACTTAATCGGGCTTGAGATCGCCTGTCTTGCCGTAGACGCGGAGTGAAGGGTTCGGAGAGACCGCGCCCACGCCTTGGAGGTCCGATGACATACACTTCGTGCTCCACAGGTCCTTCAGATGTTAAGACTGATTCGGGTTGTGACATCCGGTTATGCGGTCGGTTTCGAGGCCGATAAATGCTCAGCGGAAAGTGGCTCTCTGATGGCGTGTTGGTGCGACCGCTTTGCGCTGTTGGTACTCGATCGCTTTCTGCACTTTCGGACGTTGAAGAATCGGGAGCACCGAGCGAGGTGCGTTCACCTCGACGGTAATACACTCTGTTCTCGAGTCAGCATCAACATGAAATCCAAGAGCTTGGGTCCTTACCTTGCCCAAGCCGGAATGGTATTATGGATGAAGGTCGCGAGGTCAGACTGCGAGGACCCTGGTCGGGAAGAGCTCGACCGTGAATCGCTGTCCCATCTCCTGAGATATCCGGATCTCTGTTTCCTCAGCGGGGGAGATTGTAGCGGCGATATAGTATCATGGTGCTCATCCGAGTCTCGCTCGTCCGATGGTCGAGTTATGGGGGAAAATAGCGGTAGTGGCACCACCACCGAGGCCTCTGTCATCTCCGAGGATACATTGTCCGAAGAAGCGACGCTCCCAATGGTCTGTCGCCTCCGCGGCAGATAGCCTCGCGCATTCCCGGCATTGTCGCTATGTGCTTGTGACCGTTCATCAATGGATTGTGATGTCCGCTCAATCGACCGCGAGCCTCGATCGGATTCCGAGTGTATCGTCGAAAGCTGAGAGCTCCACTGATGCACCTGCGAGCCGCGAGGGTTCATTCGGGACGAGATATTTGGGAGTTCTTGCGATTCGGCCCATAAGCTACTTGCTGAAGGGGCTCGAATTACAGGATAGTGTATTTGGGCTCCGCTGGCGATTGAAACCTGACGCGCGGCATGAATAGTGGGAGATGGATGTGATGATGATCGCGGGCGGTCACTGGAGGCGTACGAATACACAGAATAAGCAAGCGATTCTGTCGATTCGTTCACGGGTGGTGGTCTTCCTGGTGCCGTATTATTAGATGAAGCCTGCTTCTTCTTGTTGGATCCAGATGACGGGGTATGTTTGTGAGATTTTGGCACGGATCGACTGACGCTGGGTGAGCCTGCCTTGTGCCCGAGCTCTTGCTCAATGTGTGTGAGGGTGTCAGTCGAGGCTGTCGACGCAAGCGACGCGGCAGATGCCCGAGGTGTCAATGCGTGCCCTTCAAGCGGGTTGCCACCAGACGAAGACGAGGGAATGACAGCCCTAATGGTTGACCGTTTTGGTTGGGAGACAATCTCTTCAAGTATTTCCAAGCCCTTCTCTTTCTCGCTGCGGTCGGGTGTCGGCGATGACGGGGGTGTGGTCCCCTGCGAAAACCGACTGGATGATGGCGAGAATGACGAGGCCACAATTGTATCTGCCTCTGAGGTGCTAGTCGATGCTGAGTGTCTAATTGCTCTCTTGGGATGTAGGGGTCTGGGGACCAGGGTATGACTGGCCTCGATATTCGCGACCGCATTGGTGACAAAACTCGAATCTGAAACACGAGACCCCCTGCCCTCGAACGTGTACCCTGGTGCATTACGAGGTGGTAATATTTGAGAAGGCTGACTGGGAAATGGTGTCTTTGAATAGACGTCGGTGCCGGGATCCTCTACAATGCGGATAGTTGGGCCAGAATACTGATTGGTTTGTGAGTTTGACCGGTCATGAAGAGGTTGTCGACGAGGAGATACGTTTCTCGATGACGGCGGTGAGAATTTTGGAGCGCGCGCAAGTGGAGATGTAATGACTGGAAGTTTTGGTGTTGATGAGCCGGAGTTTGCACCGGAAGACATGCTGGGGTAAGAGTGCGAGCAGTTCGTGAGCTTGGAGGCGTGACGACGTGGACGCGTTTCGGCACGGTCGGGCGGTTCATTAAGCTAAGAGAAAGAAATATAATAAAAAGGAAAGGATAATGAATGTGGAGAAACGTCAATTGTAAAGAGTGACAAGAATGACTATACAAACATGTCCAACGAGTGACAAATGCAGCGCAAAGGCATTAAAAGGTTTGAGAATTTTGAAAAGTGAGAGCGAGGAGTGGGCGGCGTCTGTTAAAACTCTCAGGAGAGCTGTGGCCCAGCAGGCGATCCGAAAGAGGTTCGTCGCTGATGCAGATGCAGCTCGCGAATGCAAGGTGCTATCCAATGCCAGCGCAGCACCCTCTGAGCCAGCTGAGCACGAGCACAGCCCAGCCGTGACCGAGGTTTGGTCGAGATGTCCGTGATGAGAACCAATATGGTTCCCGGCGCTCTCGTTAATTATGGGATTTGAGATTGATGGTACAGCGGTCCGGCCGACAGTGGGCTTTCAATGCGTTCAAGGCCCTTCCCCTCGATCCCCTCGATCTGCCCCTTATCCAGTATCGATAAAGGGCAACGGCGGAGGGGACGCGTTGTGGAGCTAGCGAGGAAATTAAAATAATTTTAGGAGCCAGAATCCGACCACTGACGTCTAGCCACGGGCCGTTGGGCGGAATCCAAAGCTGTTCCAAGGCTGTTCACTGGCTGCGGCGTGTGGTCTTTGCGGCGGTGATGCAAGGCTTGAGGAACGCAGGGATGAAATGTGGCTGGGAACAGGGGCTCCTCGATGTTGGATCCCGCTGACGGGTGAACGATGATCCGGCACGTGATTATACCGCCGTTTGTCCTGTTTGCACCGACGGTTGGGATATCGAATCGTGAGCGAAGCGCCTTTGGAAGAAATTGCTGCTGTAAACGAGCCCCGGAAACAAGGACGCGGCCAGACTTTATAGCCGTGTGTGATGCCACCTACCGGCGGAATCATTCTATAATAAATACGTTGCCTTTCAACCTGTGCGACTGTACGCTTCCAACACCAACCTCTCACAATGGCGCCTATCAAGGCCCTCTTGGACCGTTTCAGCGAGCTTTGGGAAAAGCAGCTCAAAGGCGGTACGTCACAAACCATTGGCCCACACTTCTTTCCTTCTCTCGCAAACGCCTGCGCGATGCACAACCACCTGCACCTTGTCCCTACCAACTCCTCAAGATGCGTTTGAACTCTGCAAGCTTGTCTAATGTGTCGTCAGCCCAGAAAGCGCCGGCTATCTCTCCCAACACTGCGGCTACACTGTCGGTGCGTCCCGCTCCCTCTTGTTTCATGTCCCCAAATCCTGCCCCACCCCGCGGTTATGACCATCTGCCTATCGTTTGGCATAATGTCGGAGGAAACTGGACACGAGGTTGACGAGTTAGACTTGCAGGTCGTCTTTACACTCATCTACATCGTACCATTCTATCTCTCCCCAGCGACACGGCCCTCTCCGCAACTCTCCCGTGATGCGCCGTCCTCTATACGCGCGAGGGTGCGAGCAGTTACATTCTCGTGTCTCATGAGCCTGGCTTTGACCATTTACGTGCTGTATGATTATGGCAAAGCGCCTCCTCAGGAGATTCTGAGGCTCCTCGGTGTCTGGCCGGTCTCCCTCCTTGATACTGCAAAGACGATGCTGCTCGTAACTATTCTATTTGCGGGTCCATTGTTCGAAGCTGGGATTGTAGATGGTGGCGTGAAGGACTGGGTAAGAGGAAAGCGTTTGTATGAAGAGCTTAGCAGCTGGATTGGATACAGAAATTTCGTTGTTGGCCCCATCAGTGAAGAGCTAATTTGGCGCGCCCTGATCATTCCGCTCCATATTTTGGCACACGTCTCAGGCAAGAAAATCATCTTCCTGACCCCACTGTACTTCGGCATCGCTCACGTCCACCACCTTTACGAATTCCGCCTTACTCACCCGCATTTCCCAATGCACCTCGCCGTGCTCCGCTCCCTCTTTCAGTTCTCATATACCTCTCTCTTCGGTTTCTTCGTCTCTTTCGTCTTCCTCCGCACGGGGAATCTCCTTTCGCTCATTCTGACCCATACATTCTGCAACTGGATGGGCTTGCCTCGGTTCTGGGGTCGCGTGGGTGTCGAAGCGAGCGTACTTAATGAACCACCCAGCGTGGTGAAGAAGGAGGATGACGATGCTCCTGGCTCTCAGTCAAAGGGCCTCGTCTGGACGGTTGCTTACTATATCATCCTTGTATCCGGGGCTGTAGGGTTCTACTGGCAGCTCTTTCCCCTAACAGAAAGTAGCTACGCTATGCCTGTAGTTTTGATTGAGGAGTAGGAAAGGCCTCCAGTGCCATTCGCTGGGCGTTTATGATTTGGGTATACCGTTTTTTTAGGTATTAAGAGGTGCTAATAATTGTCTGGATCAGTGTGCTGAAAGGGTATCCAAGTGGTACTGCTAGTGCATGCAAAGAATGTATAGATATCTAGGAGCTTATTCAACCCATCTCGTGAGACCTCACGCTATGAATCCATTTTAGATACGGCAATCGCCCACCAATTGTCCTTCTCATAACCCGATCCTAGGATTCTCCCGCCTGCCTCTTCAATATCACCTTCTAGCTCGCCCTTTCTATAAAGATGGTAATACCGTAAGAACGTCTTGTCCTCCCCCTGTCCTCCCATCCCTCGGTCTCGATCTCGATCTTCCGAGATTTGATCGTCACTCTGCCGCTTCTTTGATGGTTTCTTCTCCCTCTTCCCCTTCAGCACCCATGGCACCATGACATCTTGTTCATGCCCTTCATCCCAGCCTCGACGAGAGTCTTTTTGCTCCAGAGCCCAGACATAGATTAATGCTTTACCTCCTTCATCGCCTTGCACGGAAGATGGTGGTCGGAGGATATCTAGCACTGCTCGCACGGCTTCTATCCGGCGCTCCGGAGTGGAAAGATGGTGGATTACCGCTATGGAAATTGCAAAGTCGAATGTCTTTGACGGGTGTGGAAGAGAGAGACTGTCTGCTACGATGACGGAGTGCGAATGATAGGCTTTTGCGATCTTGACCAAGTTGGTAGATCTGCATCTCTGATAATCAATTCCAGTGCCTTTTTAACAAGGAATTTTCAATCCCTTTCTACTCTCTGACGTCTTAAACACTTCACATCTTCTCATGTATGAAATGAAAACTTACCTATCACTCCCAACAATAAACACTCTCGGGTTGACGGCAAGGTATTTCCCATTTCCACATCCAACATCTGCGCCTATGGAGCCATCTGGAAGTCCCTTTAAGAAGCTCTCAACAATGGGCCAGGGCTAAAGAATTAGCTAGGTGTTTCTAGGCTGAAAGAAGGGAGGTGAAGTGGACAAACACCTTGTATCTTGTGGACGAGAAATGAGAAGCAATCTCTTCATAGACTGTGTGCACGTGTTGGGTTTCATATGCTTCGCCTCGAGGTTCTTTGTCCGCCATCGATTGTGTGCAGTGAAGTCCAGAGACAGTCAAATGTGAAATGTTCGTGAGCCAATGAGACGACGGATGCCAAGACGCTAAGAAGCACCTCCACCATTTTCTTACGACATTCACATCTCGAGCACAGGTATGCGTCTCCATTTAATGCATTTTCGAACATCCATCCTCCTCCCTATTAATGAGTGCCATATTCTGGCAAGCCTCCAAGAGACTTGGCCCATCCTCCATTCCGGACCCCAGTGTCCTTGGAGGCTCTGTAAATTCTTGAATTAGAATTTAGAGTCAAGTACACAATTTATCCTACTAGCGCAAGAATTTCAGATTTTGCTGCAAAATGCAAGGCTAATTATTTCAATTTTACTTTGTGGTGTTGCTGCCCTTTACCTTTGTTTATACTGGAAAGTTCATTTACTTCAACACAGCAAATTGTTATCACCATTCTCTGCAAGGACAATAAGAACAATAGTTTCTAGCCCTACTTTAACTCTCCTTGTTAGTTCCAGACTAATTTTTTACTTGTAGATTTCTAGCCAATATCAGCTTCTTTCGTTCCCTCTCAGACTCTTTTGTTACTCCTCAGTCTTGTTCCAACATTTCATTCCTCTGGCTCGTTTCTTTTGCGATCTTTCATACTGGACCAATAAAACGCGGCCAATTACCAGTTCGAACGAAGCCAATAGAGAACTTCAAAGAAATGGGAACTCTTGCTATTGTTTAGCTCCTCTTCAATCTCTCCTCCACCTTCCCAAGTTCATGAACTGGACTCTGTCACACAACAATCAGGTTGCCAACTGCTTAAATAACCTTGCAATCCACCTGCACCGGAATCAATTGCCTATATCGTCAAGAGATTCATTGGAAATGTGCTAAGGTCTACTAGGGCTTGATGACTAGGGGACGCCAAATCATCTCGATTACGACGACGCAGACATGGATCTTATCCAAGACTTTGCAAACTATTGATACGGTGTGACGACATTATTCAACAGAACGATACCGATGAATTCCTTTTCAGAATCATACAGGGTTGCCTCGCCTCCAATACAGGTCCGAATGGACGGGAGAGAATGATGCCCACTGCGTACCTGATGCGAAGAAAGGAGAGTTTGTTAGTGTGGATAAATCTGCACCAACCCGACTAACAGTACCTACCCTCAATTTGAATTTAATTCTGCCGTAACTCGGGATAATCTTATCCATGAAGTAGATACTGACTTCGCTGCGATCAACGAATTCTTGGCATATGAGCAACTCACTACAATGTGCTCTGACGGTCTCAACCCTTGCAATCGAGATATCCAATTTACTCTCTCCAGGCGAATCTGAGGAGCACCAGAGGTCCTCCACGTTAAATTAGAACTCAGTCGCTATTCTCAAATACGGGGTCCACAAGATTCACGAAGTGGTTAGATACAAGTATCCCTTAGACCTCACAAACCATTAAGTAGATATATCAAACTACTACAGTACAAGCTGTGAAACATCGTGCTTCACAGCGAGCAAACATTCGACTTCAGTCACTGGATCGCAACGGTAAGAGGCTACGGCTCGGATATTTTAGTGACCAATGACCCCGTCGTCGTTTCTACCACCGAAGCTGATCTCCTCGTGAACCCTTGGTTGGATTACTACCAAATGAGACAAGAAAGAAACCCTGGTCTCCACCTCCCCCGGTGTAGCGTAAAATCCACCGTGCCGAACGTACTTAGGCCGATCAACGTCTTAAACCTTCCTCGTTCCTTTCGAAAACTGTAGGAAACCTCCAACTACTTTTTAGCCCCCTTACGTACACTTCCTAATTGGAACGAGCAAATACTCAGGGGTTGGTTACCTCTTTAGTCGGTTGTCTTATCCAGCGGAGGCCGGAGCTATTCTCCCCTGATCTATTTTGGATATCGAGGGCTCTTCGGTTTTCGTGACAAAAAAAAAAGATTATACCCAGAGCAACTATCACCCCATGTTTGGTCAACATCCAGGCCTTCTTTACCAGCGTTGTCGGTCTTTGGTCAGAAGAGGACCCGTACCTCTCCATATTAGTTAGCAGAAGTTTATTGATTTTGCTTATATTATGCTGCGCAAAACGTAATTGGTTTCTATTTTCATTCATGCATAATTTAATTACCGTACAATTCTAGAAAGAACCAATTGGGATTAGCCACGTACTTGCAGCACCTGCTGCCTGGCACAGGCTGTCCCTTATTCTCATCACCATCACCATTGTAGAATAAACCCTGCCAGTGCTGCGATATATGAAGGCCTTGATAAAATGCATGCTGACTTATCAGCATCTAGGTATGTCTTTTCATCTACCCTGTGGCACTGCGTGCACAGACGACCATTGAGACAAGAAAAAGCGAAACTTTAATAGTACCTTATCCCTTCTATTGAGAAACCCCTTCTTGAGATATAGTTATAGACATCTAATAATGGCCTTTCTGTTCTATTTAAGTATCTAGATTTGCTCGCGCTCACTATTGCGTATTATCGCTTCTTCATCTTTATGATTCTTACGTAGAACGTAACGATCTGCCCTAAGGTAATACCAGCCTTGGACTTTCTTCAAACGTTATCTTAAACTTAAAGCTAAAAGGGTTAAGGCGCTAGGTTAGGGTTAGCAAGAGTGGACGTGATACATTCGTACAAACAGAAATTACAAATGACCTGCAAAACCCATTGGGGGGAGAAGCTTCCAGTAGACCATATGGGCAACTTAACGCCCCATTCGGCAACTCATTTCCATAGAACTCAGCAACTCATCTGACAACCCGGTATAGAATACACCATTTGCGAGCTCGATGTTGTCCAGTTGAGGACCCCTGGTATGTTTGGGAGAAGATAGGGGCCAGACTTGACGATTAGTCCATTTAACCCCTGATGATTGCAATGAACCATCCGGAGATTTTCCGAGCATCTGCAAAATCATCGAGTCTGGAATAGGCCCTGATGATCTGGTTTTGTAGATATTTACCAGCTCTATCATGTCGCCGGAAAACCCATCGGAGGTTTCATAATGTTCTATTGTGAACATGTCGGTTTCATTGGAGGTTCGTGACCCTGAGGTTGTGAAGATCAAGTCCGGTATCTCCTTTGCGATGGTGAGGCTGAAAAAGCTCGGTGCAAGCCGAATTTCCTGTCGAGTGCTGAAATGTGTGACATATCTCTCAACGAAGTCGGGAAGAGAGTTGGGTAGAAGTGGTGCTGGGAAATCAAATTCTATGCCGGCTCCTTGCAAGTGCGTTGCAATAACTACAATGTCGTATTCATTGTTTTCTTTCATCCCTAGGGTTGCACGCGGATTGGTGCTTGACACTACCATATTATATTTTCGGTTACTCGATCTGCTGATCATAGACTTGCATATTCAACATCTTTCGTGCTTCTGATAGCCGAATAAGTCGGGGAACAAGCTCCGAGTTTCCTCTTGGCTCGTTTTCAAGGCGATACGTTGCTGCGGGATTCATTGCTATGAGAGCGGACACTACATTGAGATCGCTCAGGTTGTGTGCAAATAAAGCTCGGACTGTAGGTTGAATTCTGTCGTGTATCATCTCTATTGGAACCCTGTTCCCCATCAAATATTCATCGGGAGGTTTTTCACTTTCTTCCTCTAGGCCAAGTCGCCGAACGGTAGCAGGCAGATTTGGGTTCGGTCCTTGATTGTTGCTGTACAGACTGTGAAAAAGTGGAAGCTTATCACGAATGAATTTCTGTAGCTTCCGAGCCGAGAGTCCGTACTTAAGTATATCTCGAGCATACTCTAGCCGAGTCCGTGACTTGAGACCTCGATCTCGACGTAGGACGAAAGTTTGGCCATCCTAAACGCCAGCTGTAGGCCGCTGATATGACGGCACTCCTTGATAACCTCTCGTCGTAGTCTTGTGTCATCGATCGCAGTCTGCAAGCACCAGTCGTTGGCAGAGAATGTGCTTGCACCAGTGTCGACATAGCCCCCGTATGTATAGGCTAGGTTGTCGACGAGAGTCGAGTTTACGCGGCCGCCAACCCGAGCACCTACCTCGTAGATGGTAAGGTCGATAGGTTGGGGGTAGCCATAATCGGCGTACGATGGGTGAGCCGGCGACGCTGCGGCGATACCTCCCCCGACGATCGCTATTCTTTTACGCCCGTCCTGCCGGGTTTGATATTCGGCGCTGTGCAGGTCTATGGGACTCTGAGCCACGTCCCGGCATATGACCGTCACAGCGAAAATACTGAAAGAACAGAAGAAAGGAGCTATACAGCAATCTTGTTGGAGCTGAAGGGATGAGTCTGTCCACGTTCTGGACATCTACTGTGCCGCCTGCGCCTCCACCAACACAATCGCCAAGCCCATCACAATTTCAACTATGGCACTACACCAACACTCTCGGGTGCTTTTAAAGAAGGAAGACTACTTTTGATCCAAACACGCATTAGTAGAAACCTACAACGTACTAGAATTTAATATATCACTCCACACATGCTCTTTGCCCCCTACCAAGTTTACAGCTACTCCCTACTAAAGAGCAGTACCTTGTTTAGTAAATCTTAGACCCTCCATTAACAAGGAATTTCGCCCTGGATTATTAACACACAAGAAATAGCAGGTTGTGAGAGCACTGTTGTGCGGGAAGTATGAAGCGCAAGAGGGGGTATAGGATAGTATTGATAGACGAATCCTTCAAGAGACTCAGGGGTTCGAGAAAGGATATATATATATACTAGGGCACGTAACGAGACGGTAAGTGCCCGAGGCCAGGCCGAGGGCTCTCCGGGGGAAGTCCGAGGCATGTCCCAGTGAACTGTGACACAGATAATCTGCTTACGGTGCGCAGCTAGAGCCCTCCTTAACCCGTTAGCAAGAACTAGGTGTTGCGCTTTGTTAACACCTAGGTAGGGCTTTAGACAAATTAAGACTGTAAATTCCATTTACAGCGCGCAAGATGTGAGTAGTCTTGTCACAGTTAAAGCGTAGTTTAAGCAAGTGCTAGTGTAAGCCGAGGAGCTATACGATAGGCTGCCCAATCAGCCGGGGGCTTGGAGTCCATCATTTCGATATAAATCATATGGCTCCTCAGACCCTCAGTCCACAATACATGACTCTCATAACTCGTATCCCTGCAAGGTTACAGCTAGAAATGCGTTAGTTGTACAGGATATTTAACTAGGACACCTAGAATTTTGGTAAGACTAGGTATATAATAGGGGCCGCTGCAACGTTAAAAGCTACCACTAACTCTAACACTAGTAGTTAAGCAGTTGTTATACAGCTAGGGAATCGCGACTAGGTTACCATTATCCAATGCGTTAATGCGTCTAGTTAAGCTATCCTGCCCTTCCTTATCCGGCTAGGAGAGCTCCACCAGGCCAGCTAGTATCACCGCTCCCTACTAGCTAAGTCATCGCAGTAAGCAACAATGGTTAGACAACAGGTTAGCTAAGCTTCAAGTGGCTTAAGCAATATAACTTAACAAACATACTGCGTCTTGTACAACAGGTATCAACCGCCTGTTTATCCTCGATCGCCATAGTAGCTACGCTACACCTGAGTCAGCTAGTACTTGCAGAGCGCAAGATTTTCAGCCTCTGTATACCTGCGCATATATCACATTTTAACGCGAGCTGCTTCTCCCCCCAAATTCAAGCATATAGACAGGAGATTCAAGAGCCTGCTCGCCAGAGAGCCTTCCATTTTAACAAGGGAGACTTCATCTCTGCTTACTTTAGGATCTAGGGGATAGTCTATACAAAGCAGGATATGGTGTGCAGTTTACTGGTTAAACACGTTATCCATGTCTTGGAGTGAATCACTTCATTGATCGGCGAAACTCTCTGAAAGCTTAATACTAAAGTTTGAGGGCATAACAACTAGATAGAACATTCCCCTTTTATGAACCTTGCGAATTATAGTTCTGACATAGAAAGAGCTTCTAATATTTGTGATGTAGTGGGGAGTGAAGCTTGAGCGCTGCACAGTGTCATGAGAGAATCGGCGGGGAGCACAACCTAGACCATAGTCTTTTTTGGCCGTAAGCCAAAACCCAGAGCAGAAATAGCGAAAGAACAACGCTGCTTTCACAATAATTTTATAGACTTCCACGGGAAGGCTTCAGATGCTGGTCAGTCAAAGCTGTTTTAGTGCGGTGGGGTTTCCGCCATGCAGGTGGGAGGTTACGGCTATCATTTCGTATATATAGAAAAGAGCGATTGGAAGATGTCTCTAGGTCATCATGATATCAAAGGGCACCCTGTGCGCCTCACTTTCCTTTTGTTCTTTTTGGTACAATTCTAGTTCATTTTATTGTCCTTTGAGGGTACAATAACGTTGGCAATAACATTCAAACCCCACTTGAGCATCTTACAACAAAAACAACGTAATGTATTATAAATTCTTTGTCAATAGGTAAGAGCTTTCCTCGTCTCATTTGTCCTTTCTTCTGACCCAGCCGTCCCGCTTCTCGTCAATCATTCTGCTCTTCTCAGTTCAAACACATTCAATTGCCAATTAGCATGCAAAGTTTTCACATTCGCTATGGTGCACACACGCCGATCCCAGGGAGGAGTCTTAGAACTGAAATCCGCTCCCCAGAAACGAAGCGACAATATAGTAAGCTATCAATCACCCTAGCCCACCCTAAATCCAATGCAAACTATTCCTAGGCTTCAAAAATCAGCAAGAAACGTCCTGCAATGCGATTAAGTCACCTAGCTGAGCCCAGAGGTATCGGGAATCCGGGGCAGAGTTGTTACCAAAACTCCGTTTACTAGGTACTACTTTAATGAGCTGGCATTCGTCAACTGGATCATGACCCACAACTATTGGATTGGTAGAGATTTTAGACGTAACCGCCTAGGAAAGATCACGTATCCCTGTTATATGTTTCCGTATGTCACTGATGAGGCAGAGAGCTTCGAATATCTGACTGATGTTGATGATTTTTCAAGCGAAAGCGCTACTACACTGGAACGAGATGAATTGGTGAGTCTTGAAGTTGGCTATTTTAGCCAATTACCAGAACGTCCAGAGTCCTCTGGGCCATTCGAATACCTTTTCGGTGAGCTACCGGGCGAATCTGGGTGTAATCTGGATCTGAATGTGAGCAGATATCTCCACCTCCTGCAGAGCCTTCGAATCCAAATCTCAGCAAACAAGTCCTACCACCAAAAGCTCCAAGAGTTAAGAAGGAAACCGACTGCTACGCTTGCGCTATGAAAGACCTCATTGCCCGCTATTGGGGCGACAACGACCTAGCTAACTTAATTCCTAACCACGCCGCGGAACTCCGTCGCATGGCCGGCTTTGGATTCCGCAAAAAGGAGTTCACATTCGGACAAAACGAAGATAGCAACGAGTACTGTGAGCAGTTACTTACCGGCTTTGCTGCTTCTACGAGGTACATAAGTAATTCCCCACACCGCCCATATCATGTACGTAGATAAGCAAATTACTCATAGGACATAGAAAATTGATCTTACAAAGTATCAAACCACCTACTCATCCGAGCAGTCGACTTTGCCATTGCGGTACAGGCTACCAAGCATAATATCCCACTCAAGCAAAGCTGTCCATAGCGGGCATTACATTGCCACCATCAAGGGCGCTGACATCGATATCCCAACCACTGATAAAAGTGAAGGTGTCCAGAAACAACCGCAAATCTGGTGCTTCTCAGATGATGTCAGAGAGAACTGGATGCGAGCGCCGCATAAGTTTCTGCAGAATCCCCTAACGCCGCGGTATTCGCCCCAGAAGTTCAAAGTCTATAGTCTTATATATGTAAGAGATTACAGTCTTGCAGCGCAAAAGAAGTTGGAAGCCCTGGTTTCTGAGACGTTGTAGATTAGGATCTGGGTTTCTTAGTTGTGGACAAAGCGTTGTTCTGAACTGGCATCAGAGAAGCTTTGGGTGAAGGCAAAGTATATGGTTTTCCACTTTATTTAGTTTCCGTTTTTGCTTTGCTAGTCACTCTCTTTTCCTCTTTTGCTATAAAATCGATGAATTTGAAGTTTTCATAAAACAAGAGTATTTATTATGGAGTATATTACTTCAGGAAGTCCATGTCTTCACTATACGATACACGTACCCTTGACACCAAGGACCCCATTCCCAATCACAACCTTCTCTTCCCCCCTCCAAATACCCTCTGACGCACCTACCCGAGCACCTTGAGACTCTACATCAACATTGACTAGCCTCATCTTTCTAGGCCCCTCTTTCATACACCGTAAAGTCGACTTCTCACTACCAGACTCAGACCCATGCTCCAAATTGTTACCTTTTCTCCTTCGACGAAGAACCAAAATTCCAACAACAAACCCTCCAACAAAAACAATATAAAGCATAAGACAGCTCATTGCCCCAACGAACCGGAAGCTTACAACACTGGAGATACACCTAACACTCTGCATGGTCCTCTGCATCTCTCTCTCTTTCTCTAAGGCGTGTAAGGCGGTGGTGGCGTCTCAGCCTTCCGCTCCCTCTCCCAACCCTGTCTTCTTCTCTCACACTCTTCCTCAAGCCCAAAGCCAATAGCAGGGAAATATCCTGATGAAGATGCCGTCGAGCCGGAGCCGGAGTTGCAGAATGATTGTGGCGTCCTCGTGGATGGCACTGATGTAGGCGATGAGGGTGGAGTTCTGTTGCTGGTATAGTCGGATAGGGTTTCGATGTCTGCGGGTGTGGGGCGGGCTTTTAAGAGGATGACGGCGTAGCGGAAGGTCGATGGTGGGGTGAAACGTTTTGTTGGTGTGGTAGGGTTTGAGTTCGAGGTTGAGGTTGTGTTCAAGGTCGTAGATGGGTTTGGTGGGATTAGGAGGTGGATGTTTAAGGAAGAGCTGGAGGTGGGGGCTGTGAACGTGGATGTGGATGTAGAGGTGTTTCGACGGTGGAAGATTGAGAGAGCGTGAGGCATTGAGGGGGTGATTCTCGAAGGCTACGTAAGATAGTGGTGGATGGACTTGTGGTATTTATGCTCTTACAATTTGGGAGAAGTCCGAAGGTGTAAGTAACAAAGACTAGTACTCTCTCAAAAGAAACGTGTGCAAAATCTCTAGGTTCGACCGTAAATTTTCTAGCGGTTGAAACGAAGGCCGTTGGTATCTCATTATGCTTTCTTTATACTCCCATCGTCCTTCCCCGCTCGTATCACACATTGCCATCGAAACTCCATGACTTCCGCATCCGGATAAACAGATCCCTAGAGCGGAAACCTGGGCTCAAACTTCTTTGTTAGGTGTACAGTTCCTTCCAGGCTCTTTCCTCATATCGACCCCTCACTGAAGCCGCCAGTACGCTTGCTCTCAATATGTAATATCCTAAGTCGGTAGACGCTTTCCAAACTCTCATGATGTCATTCCCCACGAGATTCTAGACGCGTCTAGAAGCCATCCATGAAACGTGAAGTCTCCCCCGGGCCTCGACTTCCCCACTGTACCGCCTGGGCCTCCATATGTCAGCCGGCCGAGGAACCGAATGTCACGAGGATTGTTTAGGATTGTCACCATGTGGGAGGCAGCTGAGTTAACAGATGCTCCGTAGTTGAATGCTGGCTTTCTTTATCACAAAGGATATAGAATGTGGCCTCAGAATAGTGGTCTGCTGCGTTATTCTCATCGACGATTAACTCACTTCTGGGGATGGATCAATAGTACGGAGTAACTGGGCGGTTACCATGCGAAAATTTGACGTTATGGGGATGTTCTGGAGAGTGAGAGGGACGTAGGGAGTGGAGTACGGGAGAATGTTCTGGAATGCATATGCATCTGCAAACGGATGTCCCAAGGGATGCCTTGGGACCTCAATAAGGAGCGCCAACGCCAGCCAATCCTGGGAGCTGGCCCCTCTGGAATATAGATAGTATATTGGAAAAACCCCGGGAATTCGACAAAGAACTTTCGAAAAAGGAAGATTGTTAATTTACACATCATACATGTAGAGTGAAGTGGAGCGGCTGAGAACAAGAAACAGGAATGAGAGGCAATGTAAATACAAGTGGGGACGAATGCGGCAGAAGGCGCAACGATCTACGGAGGGGAACGCAAAAACGACGGCTCTGCAACAACAAACCCGGAATCCCCCAAAACGGTGTACAGTCTGTCTGCTAATAACAACTTACCCGCCCCAATACTCGACCGTTCACCCATCCGTAGAATCCACGCACCTATATAGATGATTCAATTCCCATCTTGATATATATATTACAGAGCCCGCATCCTATCAGGCCACTCCAGTGTAAACACTGTATAAAACGCATCCGTCGAATAATCCATATAATTATGAATCACATCATCCTTACTATGCAACAAGCCCAGTCAATGCCCTGTCTCGTGAACCGCCATTAGCGTAGACACTTGCATTAGTTTTCCCGTTTCCGAGATTCGACGGAGAGCATGCCACAAACTAGCACACCACCCACCAGATCCGTCTGGAAGTAGATATTCAACGTGCGGTACGAGTCCTGTCGTAGGGCAATTTTCACATTGAGGTGCCTGGCGCCGTTGACGGTCTACGCCACTTTTTCTAGGTTGAACCGGATGCCGTAGTCTGTACGCATCATTGGGCATGTCGATGTGCGCCGATGGCAGGTCGTTTTGTGACGTCGGATTTGTTTGGCTTGGCTGGGATGTGGAATATGGCGTAGATGGCGATGGCTGAGCTGTTGTCTCTGTCGAGTGTGGTGAGGGGGGAGGCACGTGTGGCTGGTGAGCCGTTGTTCTGGTTGTCGTAGAGGACGGTAATGGTGGTTAGGAAATGCTTGGATACGTCGGTGCGCTGTCGAAGGATTTGGGCTCGGGTCGGTTGCGGAGGCTAAGAGCCCCGGGATGCAAACAGATGTTTGTACACGTCCCGATAACGAAACGGCCTTTGAAAATTGCGTTCCAGGTCCCTGATAATGGTAGGGAAGAGATTAGAGCAGGGAGAATGTACCATTTGAAGCAAAATGCTGAGGCTGAGAGCGGTATTTCCTTCGACATGGAATTCATGGAAGTTTATACCTTCATGCCTCACTGTGGTCTGGATTATAAGGTCTCAGAATGTCCATCTAGCTATATTTTGGCGCCCGTCTAGAGATTTTTGGGGTATTATCTGGGCCGTAGAGGCGCAGCTACAAACGTTCGTTTTCACGACGAGTTTCAGATAACCTCTTGACGAAGACCTGACATGAAGTTTAGCATGATAGAATTCTCGGCCCGAGTCCTACTTGAGCATAGTGAACACCTGCTGACCAAGGTCGAGTACAGAAGAACCAAAAAAGAATTGTGAATCATATTCTCGGGGCGAACGCCTGCACGCCAGACTTCTTAGCGACCTGTAATACAAATACACTCCCAAACCTCGGATCCGTGGTGATTCAAGCTGAAAATGAAAAGAACAAACTCCCAACTCCATTAGGAAGGTCTATCGTTTTAATCAGGCGGTATCTCCTGGTCGAACACTGCGTCCAGTTGCCGTTGCAGTGCTCGGCTGGTCATTATTCCACGAGAGGTAAGTGTGATCGCCAAGTTTCCTTGAGGTAATGTTAGCTAGATAATTATTAGTCTAACCCCAACTGTGAGCTTACCTTGGCTTGATGAGATGGGCAGCAGTGAAGATAGCACCGAGCAAAATGCAGAGACCGCCTACGACAACATACGCGATACCTAGGAAAGGGTTTTTGCCACCCATGACGGTGCGCGTTGAGATCAGGATGGACTTTTTTCCACCGTACTTGTGAACGGGGAACCCTGGGTTAGAATTAGTAATCAAGTCCCTGCATTATCTCACTTGTGTTGCTTACTGTCCCAAATCCGGAGCCGATAAGTGCCCGCCTTCAAGGTGTCCTTGTCGTTTCGCATGGCCAATTTACTGAAGGTTGGGAGACCTGCCGTCCTCATCCAGACCTGGAAAGCCTCCCAAGTGTGGAGGTTGGGAAGCTCTTCAAGATCGTCATAGCCGTTATCCGGATACTGGTCTCTCCAATTTGGCGGGGGGACCACATCCTTTGGCTTGTACTTAGACTTCTTATACAAATCCGCCTCACTATCCCATGCTATACCGCTTGTTGACATAGTGTAGGGCTCGGCATTGGGCATATTTAGTTGGTTCTTGTCGAATGAATCGTTGAACATGGAATTGGCGATGAGGCCACAGGGATAGTATGGCCTTCCGTCCGGAGCTGTGTCGAGAGGGTCGCAGTCTCCTGACCGAATAGAGCCCGCGGACTCCGCATTACCTTTCAGCTGGTTTGTATCCAAAGACTTGACATATCGGCGATGGTTCTGGTAGAAGTTCGTCAAGCGATAGTAGAACAATACAGGAGCCTTGACGTCATTAGGGATGGTGAATTCCAAGATACAGAGGGTAGTGTTGGGGTTTTTCTTTCCAGAGGGCCACTCGAAGGTGTCGTTGGCGTAGCCCCACTTTGGCTTCACGTTCATCGGCGACTTGAAAGAGCTTGTTACCCGGTCACCTGGTATCTCACTGAGTGTACTTTGCACATCCGGGTTGAAGTCCGCCTCGGTAATAGGGGCCGTGGTGTTGCAGTTTGTGTAATCGATAGAGAGCTCCTGAACCTATTGGACACAATGTCAGGACCATTAATCACGAAGCAACGGCCTCTACATGAGACCTACCTGCGAACTCGCGTATAATAACAGGCCTCCGATAGGGGCGAATATGATGCCGACAATGAAGAAGAGAGGAAGGACGGTCTTCGGGGTAAGGATGGGTCTGGCGCCTCGCAGTTAGCCAAGGCTCTCTATCGCGATAGTTCCAACGACTGCACAAGTACATACTGCCATGCTTTTAATCGCTGCTGCCGGAAAGCAGTATCTAGTCGTCAATTAGCATAACAGGTCGTGATCCGGAATCAAGCGCGGTGCCGCTCACTTGCGGGCCTCCTGCTCTTTGTCTTCTTCGCCTGCTCCTGACGCGGGTCCTGGCTCGATATCGAATCGCTGTGCTCGACTTGTGTTTGCGACATATTGTATAGTCCGCGGGATTCCGCGGCTCCGGATATGCGAGAAGAAGGTGCAGTCGAAGGTCGAGTTGATGATGGTCGCGGTGGAGGAGGTAACGTTTGGGCTTGGCCAGGGTCTCAGCCTCGTCCAATTTTAGGACGCTGACATGCTCACCGAAACTACGCCACGCCTTCATCCCCGGCTCTCGAATCTGTGAAACTCATCGCCACAGTTGTGAAAGAAGCCGTCTTTACACAGTCTTTATTCACTCTGCTTTTCGCATGATGGATGAGCTGGGACTGAGACATTCACAAGAGCATTCGGTGCTATTGTCGAAGAAGTCTATTGCCAGTGAATTCGAATAAATTCGAGTCGCGCCCGTGGCAGCAATGCTCTATTGTTCAAAGACTACCTATATCATCTAGACCCAAGTGCTCTGCAACGAGAGTCGGGAAATGCAATGATCCTATTGATCTGCCAGGTATGAAAACATCAAATCGTGGGCATAGGGGGTATCAGCAGGTATGGTGCAGACAAAAGAAAGAGAGAAAAAAAAAAAGAGGGGATAACCGAACGCCGGCATCAACGAGTACAAGGGCTTGGACAGTCTTTGCTCATGCCCATCAAATTCCCATACCCAATAAAAAAGAAACGCCATTCATGAATCGTCCTTGTGAGTGGGGAAAGTGTTCCATCCCCGATGCCGTGGTATCAATCTGAGCCGAAAAGAGAAAGCCAGTTACACCGTCCATGATCACGTGTTAATGCTACTGGTTTCCGGGACAAACACAAGAGAAAGACTGCGGAAAAAGTCTCAGAATATGACATTGCGAAGATTGGAGAGAGCGTGTGGGGTCGACAGCGAGACAGGAGTCGGACTTAGACGTAATTACGGAAGAACTCTGGCTTGAACCAGCCGACCTTTTCGTAGGCTTGCCACAGCTTGCTAGCCTTGTTGACGTCGATCTTGCAGGCTTGCTGGGCGTCGGTCTTGCGGAACTCCTTGCCGATTCGAAGAGCTTCGATGCGAGCCTGGAAGATTCGCCGCTTACTGCACAGGTAGGTAGCGCATGTAAGACGGAGGGTGGAGGCGAGATTGAGTTCAGCCTCGTGCAGTAGGTGTCGGTCAGGGTCATTGGAGAGGTCGAGCACCTGGCCTTTCCAGTCGGCCTTCAGCACCTTGCTGTTACCCTTGGGCAGGGTGTCGATGGGCGGCGAAAAGTCGGGCAGAGAGTTGTAGTCAGTGTCATCGCGATTGGTGGCCGGCCTCGGGGCTTTCGGCGACACCGACAATGGAAAGTGGTCGAAGGAATCGTAGACGCGGCTCACAGGAGTCCTCTTCGGGGCACGAGGAGCGCGGGGAAGTCGTGGGAGCGCCACCTTCTGCTTTCGGGATGCCGACGATGGAGCAGGCGCCAACTTCTTCAGGGCAGGTCGCTTCTGAACACCACTCGGTCGACCGTATCGCTGGTCGAACTCGCGCTCCTGGAGATACCACGCGCGTGGATTCTTGTTGTACGACTGGAAGACGGTCGAGACGAAGCTGACGGCCAGTTCGTAGTCCTCGCGGGCGGGCTTGCTGGGCAGACTGGCAAATTCGGGCGATTTCATATGCTGAGCGATGACACTTTGTGCGACAGGGTCGGCGTGCTCAGGGGGAAAGAGGGGCTCGTCGGGCGCAATTGGGTTCGTCGAGTCGATCGGGACGAAGAGTTGCGGGTCGCGCATTCCGCCGTCGTCTGAACAATCCATGTTTTCCTTCTGCGATTGTGTGTCGAATGGCGAAATTGGGGGCGAGGCGTACGCTTCACGGCTTAAAGAGGGTGTTGCCTGGAATGGCGCAAGGTGCTCGCCCATCGTTGGGTTGGGCTGTTCCGAGTTGAATGACGAGAAGGGCGTGCCAGAGATTGAGGAGCGAATTGTTGAGCTAAACGATTCTGAGCGCTTCATTTCCGGGGGAGAGAGGAGCGAGGAGACGGTGAGACGGTTGCTCGGGGGGGTCTTATAAGGCTGGCTTGCCATTGTCTGAGGCGTAGGCTGTTTGCTCGAGCAGGTCGTGGCCGCGCGCGGTGATTTTAGGTATTCCACCAGGCAGCAGTGTCGATGTTTGTTTAATGGCGAACAATGGACGGGTGTGTGAAGGGTGACGAGAGTTTGCGAGAAGTGTGGCGAGGCGAACCGCTGTTATATCTTCTGGGGCTTGTCAGGGCGTGACCAAGGGGAACGTGACCGTGGAACACGGCGGAATTGTACCAATTGCCGGACGAATGCTTACACCATCCAAGGGCAATGGTGAATTAGTAAATGGGCGACTAGCAGGCTGGAATTGGCAACGGAGATAGGGAGTGCGAGTGGTACGGCGGGCAAACCTCCCGCAAGAGATGGGGGTGGGTGCGCTTAAAAGGGAGCGGGTGCGCAGGTGGGCGGCGGTGTTTCAAAGAGCATTCAGGCAGGGTGCACGCAAAGAATGACAAGGAAAGGCAGATGACTGTTGCTGAAACCATGTGCCTCGACCGGCCGGACAAAGAATCGCTGCAGGGAGGGGGTGTGGACAGGCGCGACGCTCACATCCTTCTCCAGGCATCCTCAATATCTGACGCGCCTCCACGGCCGGCTGAGGGCTGACGAATTGGGGTGGCCAAGAAATGAATGGAAAGCCAGGGAAGAAAGGTTCCGACCGGAGGCAGCCAATGGGAGCCCAGGCAGCAAGGCGACGAGAGGGCACGCTGGCTGTGGAGTGGGTGCGTGTGTGAGTCAACCTGTTTGGGCTGAGGGTTGTGGTCGACTGTTTGCAACACTCTAGGGGCTGCGAAAAGGGCTAGGCGCCATCCCATTCACCGGCACGCTACTTGCATTACCCGATCCAGCATCTCCGTGAGGTGCACCCTCATATCGCTGTCCACGACGCTCCATCGCGCATTTGCGGCCTCAATTGCTGCCAATTCACGGTAGCGACTTCTGCAATTGCTGTCGCAGTGCAATTGGGCACCTAACAACCCCGGAAACTGGCCAACACGTGTCACGGCGATGCCTGATGGCTACCTACCGGCATTTCGTACGTGCCTTGTCACTATTCACTAGGCCATTGATCTTTGCTACTGTTTGTTCGCCAGGCGAGCCTGGCCGTCACGCCCGCTACACCAGTTCGAAGCAGCCTGACCGCTGCGGAGGCGACCTCATGGTTCCACATGGCTCCACGTCCCTCCCAGCAATTGATCTATCATGGCCCTAGGATTGCAGCCGGTCTCCCTGCCCACGCCCGCGCCCAATTGCTGCTGCCTTGTTTGTCGTGGGGCTCCCTTTTTCCATGGACGTCGGCGGACATTGGCGGATATGACAATATGACAATTACGGAGTTCTCGCTCTGATATCTGAATTTCTGCTGAACAATTGGGATTAAACCCGAAATAGCCGCCATCTCACAACACGAACGGGTCCTTCATTTGCCCAACGAGATGGTGGTCTTGTGATACATGATCTCTCAACGTCGGTTGTGGTCATGGCACCAGCCACGCGGCTGCCATTGGCGCCGAACCTTGACTTCAGGGCGAGTAAAACATGTCTTGCAGCGGGCGTCGACGTGCCAGACGCTGCCTGCATCGCAATTCCTTCCCCCGAGCCCATTGAGGGCAGATGACAGCCCTCGTCCCAATTGGTGCATTGTCCTGTGAGCAGTCGCGTCGCATGTGAAAGTCGACACCCATCCTACCTCGCTCAGCTGCCAGCGTGCCAGAGACAGTGTGCCCCCTCCCCCACGACAGTCTGGTCTGACAGGCTGGCGATTCATGCACTGACCAAAAGGAGCAGCTGAGGAACTCACGAGATTGAGCCGTCACACCATCTTGTGGTGATGGAGGGTCATGCTGACTGTGGTATTCCTTATCGATTGTCGCTTTATCGATTACATACCGCGTTCCGAATCTTAGAATCTGTGGGGTTGGAAATCGCCCGTGTGTCTATTTTTGAGGCGGTCACGGCGCCTACATCGCCTTGCAATGCCGCGACGTACCGACACTCCGCATTCACATCTCTGCGCGTTCCCCTCAGCAATTCTTCCGTTGAATATGCTAATGCACCATGGCGTCGCGTGTACACTTTCCGGTCGCTCCAGCGGTGAGTGCAGCGGCCAGACTGATGGCGCCGGATGCCTCCGATCTCTGCAGACAGCGATCGACGATGTAATAGGAGCCTGCTGATGGCATCCCCGACTGAAGAGTCCGCCAATATACACACTGGTAATCTAGACCTGAGGCCCATGATCGCATGCGAATCCGCAGCCATCCACGAGCATTGGAAGCAATATCATGCCGTACTCTCACACCTCATCATGAGAGCGCCACCCTTGAGATTTCGTTTGGACGAACGGACCCCAAGCATGCGCGACACCTCTGCACGTCGCGATCGACGTTTCCCGGGCCGCACCTGATTGACTGCCCGATAGGCCAATGCCGGCATCCTGCGGGCTCGCTCGTTTGCTGCCCTGACTTTACTCGCAGGGCGTGACATGCTGGCGGAGAGGTCTGGGAGTCCCTGCAGTTGCCACGCTTCCAGCCTGTCGTCCAACATCGTCTGCTGCATGACCTTGTTTCGAGACTCTGACAAAGTAATATGAGGTGGTCCTTTCATATTCGTGCAACAGCACTGAGCAACCACGTCGTCAATGGCGTCTGGTCCAACCGCGACAGACAGGCGCGTCCTGGTATTATCATGCCACATAACTTGGCCCCAATGCCCCTATTTTGTTCTGCTCGCCAAACCAGAAATAGAAGGGCTGCAATCCGGTTGAGAGTGAGGCAAGGCAGACAGATGGCGGCCATTCGTCTCGGTGACCAGAATATGCAGCTTCATATGAGCAATTGAGAACAGATCCGGATCTGGACATGCAATTGGTCAATGGAGGCACAGCATCGAGTTGGTCATGAGAGGGATGACGAAAGGGGAGGAGCAATTGGAGACGTCTCGAGACTCGGCCCCGACACGAAGGGGATGCAGCGCACGTCATGTAAATGCTTACAGTACGTCTCTTTCGTCGTGATGACATGGTTGCGCATCGTCCCGGGGCGCAGTTCTCACAATGGACGTGTCGTCGTTGGCGTTGACTCATCGTCACTCCCCATGAAATGTCGATAGATCTTCGATCGGATCACGTGCCGACGATGGCCGTCAGTGCACAAATCGCTAGCTTTGCGTTCCCCGCAGCTTCAAATTTCCATCACAACTTTATTCTAACCGCTTCTTGTACTTCTCCTGCGACACGACGTTGAGTGATCATCGCCACCCAATACCACAGCATGTCACCGCCGCAGCTCCAGAGATGTCGGCGCCCTCCCTTCCCTCCTCTCGTGCGTTCATAACCACTTTGCTCAACTCCCTGCCTGCGCTTCCGCCGCTCTCCGCATCCGCCACCAACACAGCCGCTCCAACTAATCCTCTTAACTCCGTGCCTGAATCTGCAAGGAAACAGCTTCTGACCCTTCATGTTTTGTTTCCAAATGAACTCCTTCCTGCCCTTGACCTCCTCGACCGGCGTCTCGTTACGCGATTCCTCATCCGCGGAAAGCCGATGGGAGTAGGGACCGGGGACACGAAAGGAACAATGGCTGCGGGCAAAGACGCAGAAGGGAAGAGCGTATTACGTGGTGGACAAGGCGATGTGGCGCGGTCGACAAGTGATGCTATGGCGGAGGTGGAAGTGGAGGCGGATGAGACACTGGCACCCCACTCCCACAATCTCTACGCCGCAATGCGTGCCACCGGGCAGATGGAAAACAATCCTGATATGGAAATGCTGGATTCTTCATCTCCATCTTCAGCTACGTTGGCCCATGCAGAGGATGGGGTGCATGTTCCTCGGATTCTTGAACAGGATGCGGATGCGGCACTGCCAAAGGACACAAACGCAGGGGCACGGGAAGTTGTAGTCGACACGGTTTACTACGTCCGCTCAGCCCAGCAAAAGTCCTCGCGATATAGCTCTTCCTACGATAGTACAACTTCATATGAAGTCCGTCTAACCGCATGGAATTGTTCCTGTCCCGCCTTCGCATTCGCTGCATTTCCTTCGCTGCATCCAGAGCCTCCTATCCCGCAGGCAAATGCTGGAGAGCCCCAGCCACGGCACACAGATCTGGATTTAAGAGTGAGCCATGACAAGCTGCGGAAGGAGGATGAAGACCAATGGAGCTCTGGTGGGCTGAGCTTAGGAGACGGTATGCCACCTGTGTGCAAGCACCTGCTTGCATGTGTCCTGGTGGAGCGATGTAGCCTTTTCAGCAGCTTTGTGGAGAATAAGGATGTCGGTGTGGAAGAGGCGGCTGGTTGGGCTGCTGGGTGGGGAGATTGAGATGCGTCAGAAGGAGAGAGAGGATTGAGTTTTGATACCCGGGCTTGATGTGGAGAGGGATGGCCTTACGAAGTTATGATGTGATGTGATATGATAATGAAGACACGGCTTGCTACGGCTTGAACATTTACGGGGTGTGCGGCACTCCGCTGGGCGACTAAAGATCCGTAGGCTATCACATGTTCTCTGAGGCGTAAAGGTATGTGCCGCGATAGTTTTAACGCAGCACAGCACAGAAACATACATCCTATTACCCGCCGCTGACACCTCATCCATTGAAGAAGTCATTGCCGTCATTCTACAACCGTAGTAAACCCAGTTCCGGCCCGGTTCTTTCGCTCTAATACGAATCTGGACGTCAAGACGTAACTAATCTAAATACTCCTTTTGCGTTTAGACGTAGTAATGCCTACATCTAGCCATACATTCCCTCCGATTTTTGCCTCTACTTTACTTGTAGGCCAGCAAGCTGTCTGGAGCTAGGAATTAGCACCATTCTCAAATTGCAATATGAGGGAATATCGAAACTTGTTTTCATAAACGACCCACAATCGTGCTCGCCAGTCACCTCAAGACGGTATGCCATTGGAACGCTCTTCGCTAGTTTAAGGCGCTGTAGGTCTGCTCTTAGCGTTAAATGCTGCCAAGAGATTTTCAGGGATACGTTAAGAAGATGTCCAAGAATGTTGCAATCTCTTGGCGTGAGGTTGCACGGAAAGATTTTGTAAGACGATGGCAAAGACGACGTCTAATGTAATCTTTTTGGCATCAGACTTTGCGAAATGATTTCTAAGAGGACGTCTAAGGAGATATAATCCTCTGACGCCACGTTCCACGGATGAATTTTGAGTCTAAGAGGACGTTTCAAGAGGATACAGTCATTTGGCGCTAGATCCCGCTAAAATGACTTCAAGGTTCCAAGAGGGTGTTCATGAAGATGTCGAAGTTAACTAAATCCTTTCAGCGTCGGGCTCAGCTACATATTTTTTTGGAGTCTATGAGGATGTTCGCGGGAACGCTCAACAGTTTTGCAAAGTCAGTCGGCTCGCGATCACCGGAAGTATAATTGTATGATCTTCTATTCAGGCACAGATCTTGATATTAAGGAGTAGTAATACGAAGAGCTTGAGGAATAGGGGTAGGATAGTGCAGGTAGAGGTAGGGCTATGAACTAGGTGAGGCTGAAGCAGGGGCGAGAGCACTCGTGACAGTAACAGATAGAGAGTTGTGTAGATCAGGTCTGTCGTAATACATACCTAGACTATCGTCGACTGCGCGCATCTAACCTAGGACAAAGTCTTCGATCCGATATTTCTTGTCATGTTAAATCTATCCATTCATGCTAATATGATAGCCATTATGCAGCCGCCTTCTGCAGTGCAGTGCAGTGTAGAACGGGGCGGGGGATCCATTCTCCTCTCCTGAACCAAAAAGTGTGATGCCATATCATACACTTCAGTGCATCTTCCAACCCCAACCCCACGCGCATCGCCCACCAGACCCGCAATCTCCCCATTCCAGCCCCCCGTCTATCCTTTCTTCTTCTCCCCTTCCTTCCCCTTCTCCTTATCCCCCTCCTTAGTCTCTCCATTCGTACCATTCGCCTTCTTATCTTTCTCGCCATCCTTAGCCTCCTCCTTCTTCGCTTCTTTTTCCTCCGCCTGCTGTCTATTCTGAATTTTATTCTCAATGAGATCGTGGAACGCAGTGATAGCACGGATCAAACTCGACAAGTAAATCGCCATCAGCTGATCATTAGTCTTAATACTCATCGCCCTCGCCAACTCAGAATTATCTAGTGCACCCGCCGCCCCGGCCGCAGGTCCCACGCCATTCATTGCGCCGCCCACAGGCGTGGGTTTGGGGGTCGAGAGGTTGGGGAGGAGGTTGAAGACGTCTTGAAGGTTGCCCAGGATAGCGTGGTTGACGGGGAGGTCGCCGTCGAGGACTTTTTGGAGGTATTGGCCGATGTCGCGGAGGCGGAGATGCAGGCCCTGCAGGGATTGGAGTTGCGAGGTTATGCGCGTGGATAGGGTTCCGACGGCGACGTCGCGGATGTCTCGGAGGAGGTGTTCGACACCGATTTCTTCTGCTTCTTCTGCTTCGATTATTGAGGGTGTGTGGACAAAAGTTTTGGAGGTTGTTGTGCCATCCTAGAATCAAATACCGTTAGCCCAAAATTATTATAAAATGTAGTTCACCGTCTAATGCATTCATGTGAAGTCTCGTTTGGGAAAGCCGAGCGGCAGAAAATGCAAATCTTACATCCTTGATCTCCTCCACCGCAAAATATGCATCTGTCGGCACCCCCACCTCTTTCGGCTGCACATCGATGATGACTAGCAGTGGATTCGGCGTGTACCTCTTGAACAGCTCATTGATCTCTAGATCGCTCGCTCGCAGCTTCGGACCCGTGTGATACCACCCAATCAGCTTCTCCCTCGCATTCACTTTCTTGAACATATCGTTCATCGACTCGACATAGTTGTGATCCAGGAACCACACCGATGGGTCCTTCTCGTCTTCCTCGAAGGGTACTATATCGAGAAGTCAGTGCTGAGCAATGGGTTTGCCTTCCTTGAAGCTGATAGGGAATTGTTTCGGCGGCGAATGTGGGGAATAGGAGCGCACCCGCGAAGCTGTTTGATACTCTCACATTCTTGCCATCGTTCTGTCCGAGTAGCACGCCGACCACTCGTTTCCGTGTGCCTTTTGCTTGGCGGCCGTAGTGATCTGCTGCGGAGAGGAGGACAAGAGGTGCGACGGAGACATTGCGGGTGACGAGTGATAGTGTCTCGGCTGTTGTGGCTGGCATGGTTGTGGTTTGCGATCAGAAGGGTCGGAGGAGAGGCGATGGGATATGTGGAGGAGGGAGGGGGTCTTTGTTGTTGGGTGGGGGATGGGTTGGGATTTGAGTTTTGGTGAGGCTCTTCTGTGATGTTCTCCGAAGCTTCGAAGCTGCGTATGTGGTCCGAGCTCTGGCCAGGCACGCGAGGTGTAGAACTAGCTAAACAGCAATCTGATCTGTTAGACCTCTTGCTGGAGTTGGGGAGGGTGTCAAAAAGGATGCACGTTTCTACTCTAGATTACCCCTGTCATGTTCGGTGCTAGGTCTCAAGATGCAGTAAATAGAGTCCCAATAATAGCTTTCATTGTTTGGAGTTGGGATACCTGTGTGGAACGAGATTATGAGTTTGAATGAGAGAGCATTAGAATATGTCTCCCTTTTAAACAAGCCTAGCCAACTTTGGGAAAGTCCAAAAGAAGGCACAGAGATGCAAATAAAAGACGTAAGACGTAAGAAAGCCAGATACGACACCAGGGAATAGCAATTAGAGACCAAGCCAGTAGTCCCACAAACTGAAGTGGCCCGAAACATTCCCTACTGGCGCTTACAATGAAGTTTCGTGCTCACATCCCTCCCAATATCCAATGCATATTCTTACAACAGCGGAGCCACCCGTCCTCCAAAGTGCTCATCCCGAAACCTTCCATACTGACAAAAGAAAGTGCTAAAGAGTTGCGGTTGGGAAATAATACTGATCCCAGAGAAATTCGTAGTCCTCAATGACACCGCCGACAATGTCTAATAGAGGCTTGTTTCTAAGCTTTCGCGTGACCGAGTGTATCCAAGCCCTGCAGATTGTTAGCTGAGGCACAACCGCTTTGTGGTGTAAGACTTACTTGGTGATATTTTCATAAAAGGCACCGCGCATCATCCACCAGCCAAGCGCCCAACCACGCTTCTTCAGTTCCTCCCTCTCAAGGCCGGTCAGACCCCTTAGTCCGCCGGCCAGTCTTTCTTGGAAGTCTTTCTTGGCTAATTGTCTTGCTCCATACTCGATACTCAACCCTATCAACCATGGACGCCAGCTCTTCCTGTCCCCACTGAAGTGTTGCATGGCCAAAGCATAAACAACGGGTCTCAGGATGTACAGAACCTCTGCTAGCTCACCCTTCCCACTTACACGGTGAAGCAACGCCTTCGGAGGTTTGATGTCGTCTGCAGTGAGAACCTTGGAGAGGAGATAGCTGGAGATATCAGACGAATCCGGCAGGCTTGGCATGGACAGCCCTGTCCTAGGCATCGTCCAGTTCTCCGCGTCCACCGAGCCTTCACTCGGAGGCGTATCCATTCCATCTGCGGATGCCGAAGAGTCTTCCAAGGTACTCGGGTCCACCTCTCTTTGAGGAAGGGGCGGTGACAGAAGCGGCCTCGAGTTGGTCAACCGCAACAGCAGCAACCGACAAAAGGCCTTGATGACCTCGAGCAACACCACGACGCGCCACCGCATCCTCTCTCCTTTCCTCTTCGCAGCCATCTCCCATAGCAGCTCGGTGTACTGGATCATCTGAAGTAACAGCGCTAGCCGCTTGTAGGTTGGGGATCGCTGGGTCCAGAAGCGGGTGTAACGACTGTGGGGTGTGGGATGGTGTCGTTGTGTTCCAGGAAGTCGCGCGATCGCCTTCGCCAAAAGAGAGTCATGATAAAGAGAGAGGAGCTGGACGCCGCTATGTACTGGGCTATGTTAGCCGGCGCGTGCGATATGACCAAACGGAGGGACCTACAAGACTCGGAAGCGATCTCAGATTCTCGAAATCGGCCTGCAGAACGTCAGTAACAAAGCAACCACAGCGGTGCGAACAAAGGGCATGTACCAGGGATGATATACGTTAGTGAGCGCAGCGCAGACTCGATCTGTGACACGGCGCTGGCGTTCTTCGTGATGAAGTCGGAGTACATCCCGAACCATTTCGGAGGCAACGATAAGGCCTGGTTTGTCCGCTGGCTCGCCTGCTTGTACATTGTGGTCGCCCCAATGAATGGGTTGACTTATCGCGGAGGCCGTCGTTGTGTGGAGAGTACAGGAGGCTGGTCGCAATCCGGGGAAGGAGTGAAGTCATGCTCGTGTGGCCGCGTGCCGAGGTCCAATCAAGCAACCACAAACTTCACTAAGGGGGCATGATGACCTTTCAACTCTCTTTCCCGCATGTCAATCTCGGCGTGCTGCACTGGTTCATATTCTGCTCCGTCTGTCTGCAATTGGCGGTTCTCTGATCCCGATATGAGCTCCACGGCCTTTAGCATGCACCATTGACCGGAAACATGCCAGCAACTGTCTGGAAGTTGGTCTGCAATCAACATCTTCTTTCTGTCCTTCTGCATTCCAGCACCATTACGTGGATTCAAGAGTGCATTAATTCGGCGCCTTGACGCCTGAAGAACGGCGATTGGATACTAGACCGTCTCTCATCGGATTGTTCAGCGTCGCCCTTTTCTGCGCCGCACCTCCGCAAGGGCGCCTGACCGGATGCTTCAATTATTCCGAAAACCTTCCTAGCTGAGCGTCATTCCAGTCAATACGATGACTGAATGGTTGGTGCAGCCGCACTTGGGCAAAAAAGGAATGAACACCCGCATGCATGTGACCACGCGTTTTGTCCATACACATTGCCTTCCATGCAATGGGCGCCTTTGGTGCTCTCTGAGTAAACATCAACCTACATTGCACTAAAATACTGTGTCTTCTTAAGTTCCTCTCTTTCCCTTTTGAGCTTTGCGCTTCATGTCCATCACACCACATGTCCTCGGTAGATGCCCCAGCTACGAGACTTGGCTGCGGCCGCCCTCTTAATAGCTAGCGCCTTTCTCCACAGCTTTTTACCATCAACCCAGAATCCTTTTTCTCTCTCTAAATCTGTTGTACTAGGTATCCTTTACACTAATCACTACTCCTCAAAATGGCCAATTCAGTTCCGGTTCCAGTCGTTGCCATCAACGAGCAGGACAAGACTCTCTTCAAGTCCATCAACACATTCGTTCACAACTACATGTCTCAGCCACATCACGATAACTCCCATGACTACTACCACATTCTGCGAGTCGTCTCCAACGCCAACAAATTGCTCGAGGCAGAGCTGACAGCCAACCCCGACCTTCAATACGACACATTAACTATCTTCCTCGCCGCCCTTCTCCACGACGTCGGCGACTACAAGTATGCTAAAGCAGGAGAAGACATCGAAAACCAAATCTCGCACGTTCTTCGAGAACGAGGAGCCTCTGACGAACTTGCGGCGAAGGTCCAAACAATTGTCCACCATGTATCCTACACCCACGAAGTGAAGAACACTGAAGCTGTCATGCAAGTCTTAGCCAAGTATCCCGAGCTTGCCATTGTTCAAGACGCTGACCGCCTTGACGCTATTGGTGCGGTGGGTGTAGGCCGATGCTTTGCCTTTGGAGGGGCAAGGCGTCAAGGGCAGCCGATGTCGCTCGCAGTAGACCACTTTGGAGAGAAGTTGCTGAAGCTGCCAGCCATGATGAAGACAGCATCAGGGAGGGCAATGGCGGTGTCAAGGAAGAAGGTCCTGGAGGATTTTGAGGCTCAGTTCAGGGAAGAGACAAGACTTTCCTTCTCTCTTGAGTAATCGAGACCCCAGACTTGGCGTTCGACCCTTGAATTAAATTTGTCCTGTTTGTTTCGAATTTTTAAGTCGCACTAGTCTCCATTCCAGAAGAACCCCACGGTGGTCAGATAAGCTCCCTCCTTGTGTAATGGGATACTCGCCGTCCTGGGACAGATCGAAGGAACTTCAGCTTTACAACAATCTAGTGTTATAAGAGTGGCGCGCTTCAGCGACTCCTTGACAACTATCAATATCTACCTAAGAGTTACACTCGCCACGCGGTTGACTAGCTTATTTCTGTGAAGTGCAACTTAGACACCGCGACAATGTCTCCCACGCTGTAACGCTAACACTACTATTTTTACTTTGAAGCCATAAGAAGCTCTAATCTAATCATAATATCATTCTATAGTACAATGCTAGAAAACATATATTCAGAGTGTACGTGATCTCGCACGAAATTCCAAGTGATTCCGTCACGCAAGTTTTACTTGCAGCCTATCTCCATTCTTTCAGCAGCTCATACAGTCACGGGACTTTGAGTAATTTTATAATATTACTACTAAGCTATATTCTAATCAGCTAGTCCGCCTTCGCAATCTTTACTCTCTTGGATAATACAGCTTTCCTGCGTAGAGGAGCGAATAGAGCGCGGACATGCGAAGGTGTCTGCGCTTGTGTTATACAGTATACTCCACCTTTATCACCAGCGCTGGAGCCTTATTGGCAAGAGGAAGCTATATCCTTGTTAGTTTCCAGCATCCCTAATTCTCTACGACCTATTAATCACTAACCCGAAGTAACGTTGTAGCAAGATATATCGTAATCTAAGGTAAAAAGTGCTCCATGGTACCGAGAGTGCGACGTATGTTAAGTCTCTGTAGTAAAATGTTAGGCTAAGAAGAGGGGTTAGCATTCTTATACTAATCTAGATCCTATTTAGAGAACAGAGCAGTAATATTTTATTCCTCAAGTAGCAATCTCATCCTTTGCAATCTCTACCCAACTCCCTTATACATTTTTAGCCTTTTTGTAGGCCAGTGTGGAGCTTTTACGCCTCCAAAAAATTTGTCCCTGATGCCTCTGCGGTCTCTTTTGCAGCTTCTTTTGTAGCATATCTCTCTCATACCTCAATACCCTTCTAGCTTATTGTTTTCGCCTGCCTACTACTGTTGACTTAGTTGGTTTGCGCCGTTTAGCTTCATTATTCTGTTTATGTAAGAATTGATTCTTATTCTAAAGGAAGACACACTTAGCAAAGTACAGCTAGGGGGCTTTAGCAAGCTTCTACAGCTGCTGTTAGCTTACCTTGTTCAGCGGAGAGGTATCCTGTTTAGTTAGTTTACGGAACGATATAAGGCCTCTGCCGTTACTATCGTTTAGAGAGATTGTCTTCTGTTTATGCCTGCGTCTCTATGATTTAAGCTTTTAGAAAAGTTAGTTTAGCATAAGGCTTAAGTGTATCTCTAAGTACTCTATCTAGGTTAAGCGGGACTCAACTAGCCTTAGTTTATATAGCATTAAACTTCCTAGACGTGCGCACCTTTTCCCTTACAAAGCTATAGAGACGTGAAATACTCTTTACTAATTGTGTTTACACCTTCTTAATGCAGTTGTTTAACCTAGTCGTAATAGGCCGCCGTTAGTAGCCTATCGGAAGTGTGAGAAGGAAAATAGCATAGGAGAGTGTTGTTTCTAAAGCCGTACTTCAAGACGTAAAGCGCTTTAATTTAGGGATTAAGGGCTCATTTACGCGACTCTAGCAAGATCTAAGAATTAGTGTATCTAGATTTAGAGCACGTACAATGTTAGCTAGGGGTGAGGTAGGTGGTCCAGTTATTACAATAGGTTTTAGTAGGGTAAGTAATTATTAGGAGAAGAGACCTACGCTCTGCAGATATGTACTTAGCCGCCATCGTCTGCTCAACGCCCGCGCTCCTATAATCCCTTCGGTCGTCCTTACCTAATAGGACTTTGACGGAGTTAAGCATACTTAGCATAGCTCCTGTCTAGTTCATATTGTAAAAATTCTCTGGCACGATGACTGGATCTTAAAGTTCCTTTCCCATGACCTTAAAATAGTGTGTGATTTTCTTATATCTGTTATTACCATTAAAATCTAGTCTATCGCCTTCACTTTCTTCGCTTTAAGGTCTCGATGGCGTTTACAGAAGGCTTAAGGTTAGTGCTTTCCCTGGGGTCTCATCGTTTCGTCTGTTGCGACGCCCTAACAGGTGATAATAAATGCTAGCGAGTGTGGGTGCTTTATCGTAGTAGGATAACTATTGTTGGAAATTTGCAGCAAACTATTTAACTAGGGCTTTCTCTTCTGGTAGAGTAAGGTAGTGTTAGCTTTAAGCCTTCTCTTCTTTTAAGGGTTGTCCATCCACGCGGTTCCACAGAGTGACCTTACGGTGTTTTAGCGGAGCTGCGTGTGTTCTAAACTCATTTGGCTCAAGACCTTCTAATAGGGCAATAATTGCAGTGTCAATTCTATATTTAGTGATAGAGATGGCGAAAGGGAAGGGGACAAAGAGTTGCGATAAGCACACGTAGCGGATTGCAATAGAAGCAAAGGGAGTATTTTCATATTGTGGCAGTTCACTAATACCGTTTGGGTCGACTGCAAGGATGATGATCAGCAAGTAGGCTTGGCAACGAGGCTCTATTGTAACTTCAGATAACCTTGGGTGCAGCACTTGCGATCTGACCACCCTTGGCCATACTCTTGGTCAATTCCCTGAGAACACCTTCAGAACTTGCCACCTCACAAGGCCATGGCCAGATCGGGTCGGCCCTCCTCCCAGCTAGCGGTGGGGAATTCGGGAGACCTCACTAACTGATGTATCTGGACTTGTACCTGCACCTGCACCTTAACCGCGCCATAGGAGGCAAATCCGATCCCCGCAACCAAATAATATACAGGACGTTGCTTATTCCTGCTGTCGGGATCTAGTCAGCTGATGGCTTGACTAATTATTAGCGAACCCATTAACGTACTTCACGGGCGAGTTGCTCACACACCTGAGTCGCTTACTTTTGCCAAGACCCTACTAAACCACCCTTCCTACACTAATGCATTCCCCACAACACTACTTAGACGCGCTAAAAGAACATTAGATACAGCTTACACTCTAGGCTTTTAAACAAAACATAAAACTCTTAAAGAAATATGCTATAGCTATATGTAAAGTTTTATAAAAGATAATAAATAACTATAGCACTAAATAACCTTTATAAGCTAATTCTACAGCTAAATTATAAAGGCTAGGTAATAAAAAGAAGCAGGTGATTATTAAGACTATACTTAAGCTATATGCGCAAGGAATTTCCCCTTAGATAGCATTTATAGCTAATATAGCTAATTCTTTGCACGCTAAGCGTTGTAATGAGGTAGGCGCCCCGCCTGCCAAGCCGATACTATACGACTTTCCCCACTGTACCAAAAGGTACGCACGAGAATACTTAAGCTAAGTATTCTCGCATAGTATAATATATATAGGCAATGCTAGGGTAAGCACTAGCACTAGCGGTTGTCTCTAGCCTAGCCTACCATGTTTTAGCGCGTAATGCACGGCCTCGCGTAATGCACAATTTTGGCAATCTGCGCCTTTTACTTTTAAAGCTCTAGAGACTTATATAAATTATAAATTATATAAATTTTTTATTATAATACTAATTAAATGCTATAGATTCTATTCCTAGTAATAATTTACATGTAATACCTTATAGAGAGGTTAATTTGCCTACTACATTAAGTCCTGCCTAATGCTAGCTCCCTTTTTTTATTTAATGCTACATTATTATTAAAATCCTCTAGCGTACTAGCAATAGGCGTAGGAGCTTTCTGCTTGCCTTTTATTACCTACTAAAGGTTATTTTTAAGCTGTTAATTAACCTGCTAGGTAAGCTCTACCTTCTCTTGTTAAGCTGCTTTTATCTTAAGCTCCTGCAGGTAAGCCTTCTTTGCTATTACTACTCTATGCCTTTTCTTTTTAACTACACGCGCCTTTTTAGCTTTTTTTGCTTTTTTACACTTTACCTTTTTTTATTTTTAAAGCTATAAAGCCTTTTTTTTTAGCATCTTTTTATGCTTAATAATTATATGCTTCTTAGACCTTATTTAAGGACTAAAAAGTTATACTACTATAATATTTTAAAGGTGCTTCTAGTAGAAGAGGCTTACTACGCTAGCAGCGCTTCTTTTTATTAATTAGCGCATCTTTAACCTGCTTAAGCTTATACTAGAGGAGGATGTAATATACTAAGAATAACTAGATAGTTTTTTTAAGCTTTTATATATCTCTTTTATAAAAATTACTAATAACTTTGTTTAAAAAGCCTTTAACCCTTTTCTAATCCTTTACACTAAGCGCTAAGCTAGTGCTTTTACTAAAGAATAGTTGCTTTTTTTACTTATAGTAAAATTAATCTAAAACTACTTATAGCTTAAATAGTAATAAACTAGTTACTTTAAAAGCACTAAAAATAGTTTTATGCTTAAAGAATATTTTCTAAGCTTTATTAAACATACTATAGAAGTTTTTTTTTTAATTAATAATAGTTTCTAGTATTTATTTATAAAGCTAGCTAGCTTAGCTAAGTAGGCTAATAAAAAAGGTTTAAACATGCAGACATTAAGAGGCTACAGTGTATAAGTTGCATGCAGTAGGTATACAGCTAGAAGAATCTTATTATTGTTACAGTACTTAATAAACTCTATTAAAACATGTAATCTATAGCTATCTAGAAATAAAAGTTAGTACACTTATTACACCTTTGCCTTAGTCTTGTAATTAAACACATGTTTAAGCTATGCTAGGCCTAGTTTATTATTTATCTAACTTATAAGTAATAAAGTAAAGAAAGCTTAATGCTTAAAAAAGTTAAAATCTTATAGCTAAAAGTCTTATATATAGTTAAAAATAGCTTAGTAGATTAGCGCAGGTGTAAGAGAGCTACTATTAGCGCAGATGTAAGCTATTATTATAATCTACTTGCAATTACTATTCTATATAAGCTGCTACTTAATACCTTGCTTATACTGCTATCTAAAGAAGATTTACTTTATTTTTAACAGTACTTTAATTAGGAAGCCCTTTTTATTTATATTATAGGTATGCTGTAGTTCTATGCTATATTGCTTAATTTTTTTGTGTATAAGCTTAAAATATAGTAAGTACTTAAATGCTAAGTTAGCTTTATTACGCGCAGCGTCTATGCTAGATGTCTATTAAGATAATAAGTTAATAGAGTGCCTTTTAATAAATTAATTAACTTAGCTTTTGCTAGCTTACATACTACTTATTTTTATTATAAAATTTTAAATTATCTATCTTAAAAAGAATAGACCTTTTATGTAAAGCCTATTAATATACTCTACTAGCTCTTTCTTCTGCACTAGGCTAAGTAGTTGCTAATTTTTAAGTTTCTCTGCACATAGGCGGGTAACGCGTTAGTGACGCCTTAAAAGTGTAGATTAATTAACGCTATACTGCCTAGCTACTGCAGCATAATTTAGTAATTCTCTAGGTTTTAGCAATTTTAGCAACTCTAAAGCGGCCTTAATACTGCCTATATTAGTTAAGAGAGAGGTGGTTGAAGTTTTAACAGCTTCGCGCAGAACCGTGCATTACGCGAGGCCGTGCATTACACGCTAAAACACAGTAAACCTCTATGAGCGAGAGAAGGCCACGTGGTTGACCGTGCCGACCTCGTTACACTACCCCCCCCCTTAACAGTCTTAGTCCCTAAGACTTTAAGGCTGAGGATATATATCTGCTCTACCCTAATTATAGCCTCGCTATAATTTAAGCCAGAGTGATTGCTGGGACTCGAACTCTCGACCTTTGGGTAGCTTAAGTATTATGTTGTTACAATCCTTACTCCGGCGAAATGGTATTTTCGGGAGTACGTCGGCCTATAGTGGTATGTTAACAGAAAGGGAAGGACTTAGCTTAATCAAGTGTACAGTTCGTCAAGCAGAGTGTAAGTTAGAAGAAGATAGGGTAGGCAGGCTTATAGTTTAACCTAGCAGCTGTATAGGGAGCTAGTAAACCTAATCTGTAAGAATAGGAGTAAAGGTATATATAGTGCAAGATATACAAGGCAGCAGTGTCCTCTTTAGAAAAGTATCACAGCTTCTTAGTCTATAAAATAAGGTGTAGGGAATAGACTTAATAGTAATTACAACCTCTTAACTATAGTTATAAACAAAACTATATACATAAGGTTTGCATGCGTTTGCATGCGTTGCATGCACTGCATGCGTTACCTGCAACAGCCTACAACGCCTGCACTGCCTGCAATGTTTAAGTCTCTATTAGATAATGCACTCTGCTAGGCTTTTGTCTAAAAGCTAGAGCTATTTCTTATTTGTTCTATTACATAATTTACTTAGTGTAGGGCTAAGTGTCTTCTATCTAACGTTGTTTAGGCTGTGTAGGACAGCTAGTTAGGTTATTACAGTCTAACTATTAGCTATAACACGTAGGCTTCCCTTCTAGTTAGTGTTCTTATGTCACGATTGTGCACGAGTAAGGTTATAGAGCTTTACAGAGGTCTAGTTTAATTACTACGTGAGGTATTATAGTAGGTACAAGACGTTGTGTAAGGAATAAAAAGGTTTAAAAGGAAATTAGTAATTAAATACTTAGCTTAAAAGTCTAAGCGCTTTAAGTATAAATTAAGCCTATTTTAAGTTTAGTTAGTGTTAAAACAGTTTATACTTAAGTTTATGTCTATATTATATTGTGTTTATATTAGACATGCACTAATAATACTCTAGTACACGTCTAATACAGTTATGCCTAGGATCTGTAGAGGATACTGTAACAGTACCCCCCTTTTTATTAGAAAGGGAATCCTTTACATTAGTAGTTTTAGCATTAAGTTGTTTTTATTAGAGTACAGGTTTAGTTTAGATAGGTATTAGGCGTAGAATTAAGTTACTATAAAGTTCTTTTATAAGGCTTCTATAAGTTTTTATAATAGTTTATTATATCTAGTC